GATGTTTTAGGAAATTCAAGTAAAATATTTTAATGTTATTTGTTTAAAATGTAAAGAAGAAAATGACTTGCATTCGATTTTGTATCTTTGACTAAGATACCTCGAAGAGGTCGTGCATCCAATGAAAATAATAGGGGTCGCACTGCAAATAATAGGGATATGATGAGAAATAATCGTTGAAGTCACAAAGTGACACAAGTTGTTGGTTATTATTATTATTTTCAATAAGGATGAGTGTCAAATGGAGCGAGATACCTTGTGTAGCTTTTTTATTGACTAAGACTAGCTCACTAGCTGTTCCTTTAGACAAAACCATTAAAAGCCCAATTTATAAGGACGCCTGGGTTCAGATTTAAACCATTAAAAAGCTACCGACACTTTATGTTGATTCAAACCCCTATTTCAAGATGACTTTCACAGGGTGCTCTTTAATGGTTTTTGATCATTCCAGAGGACAAGCACTAGGCATAAATAAATATGGTTATATTTTCAACATTTTGTAAGAAATAGACAAAAATTATGAAAAATCTAAGCAAATGCTATTTATAAAGGATGGAAACGTGCCTTGAAATTGGCTTAAAGTTGATTCATAAAATTAAATCTTTAAGGGAGTATGTTGGTAAAACAATAGGCTATCTTCAGAAAGAAAACTCAGATAGTAGATTTTGTAATGCGACTGAAACTATTGTGAAATAGAGTAACACTTAGAATGAATTCCAGATAAAAGAATTGTGGGTTGTTAACTTTATTTTTGGAATACTGTACTCATATAATATACGGTAAAACATATTACCACTGATGTAAACATTGGGAGAAACAGAATAAATTGAGTTTCTGTCATGATTTAAAAAGCAGGATTTAAAATGTCCCATGAATATTTATTGAACTCGCAGCTGTGGAAATAATCTGACCTTTGTTTGATGTAAACTTATTTCCCATCATTACAAAAAATAGTTTCCAGATTCTTTTTCCTGTAAAATAGGCCTAGGTTTTGTAACTAGTTCCTGTGACAGTGTAAAGTAAAATGTCTAGACACACATTTGATAATATTTTTAATTTACAATTGTTATTGAATTTTATCTGAAAACATTTAGTTTACTCTCAATCTTCAATACAGGTTTATTTGTTTTTCCATTTACTGCATTGTTTAGAAGAAATTGCAAAACCTTATGATTCTGGGGTCAAAAATGGGGAAAAAATTTTACAACATAGATACATAGTTTTTTTTTTAAATGGGGTAAAAAATTGTTTCCTCATTTTTGACCCCATAAAACCCAGTTTCCATAATCCAATCATGCTAGTTCGCGAACTTCTTTGAATAAATAAAAGTAGGTTTACTTGTTGGAAACAAATTTGATAAAATTTGGATAATTTTACTCAATTTCATCTGACAACGGGCTCACACAGTGGTTATATATGAATTTGAAAAACGGCATTTTTTTACCTCTGGAGCCATCAAAACAAAAGAATTGGTCTTTGGTCTAGGTCTTAACATGAGACTACTTATTCTGATAATCTTTGATAACTTCAAAGAGTTGTAGATTAAACAGGATAAAGACAAAAACCTTTTCAGACACACAACAATTTCCTTGAGTTTTACATAATTTATTGGATGGACTTGATTTGGGAATTCATAAATATACATTTCATTTTAATTTATAAAATGTGTGGATACTAATATGAAAACAAAAACAAAACTTATAGAAATTATATGTTTTACAGTTAGCAATCCTCTGAATGTAGACCTAAAATATAGCAAAACACTTGGTAAAACTTGGTTATATTGGTGTGGTACTAAACAAAACAAAACAATCCCACTACAGAAAACTCATCACAGTAAATCTGTATAGCCATGTTTGTTCCTTGCTTCAACTACAACAAGTTTGAATATGGCCGCATGTTATAGTGTATTGTTATTGTTTTAATAGACACTACTACAGAGTTTTGTAATAAGCAGAATAGCATCCCTCCAACTTCTTTTTTATTTTGTGTCCTTATAAACCAGATATATTATTGATTATAAGATGGCATCAAAATCTAATCTCGTTAACAAACAACTTGGATTTAATTCTGGAAAATAATATGAATATGTAGTTTATCTATTTTCTACGATTGCATAACCTGTTTTGGTGAATGAATCTTGTGCATTTCAAATGTTTGAACTTATAACTGGCCTTTCCAAGTTTTGTTTAGGAAACATTTTGTTTGAAAAAGAAATGTATTAAGATTAAAAATGTTAATAGTACCACTTCTACCACAAACAGTAACTATTAGTTTAACAATTACTACATTTACTATTAGATCAATAATAGTAGATAGGACTTAGTGCTGCCTTCAATTTTGATTGAGGGTCAAGACCAGGTTTGGACCCTTAGAAAAAACAACCTAAAAATTACATTGACACCAAAACACATAAAATAGATAAGTCAAAGATAATATAGGTTGATAAAACTGATTCCATTGAGCCCTGGACAGAGCGCCCTTATGTAAAATAAGTATAATGTTTTAATAAGATTATTTAACATTAATGTGTCCCTCACGCTAGAATCATATAAATCTGTCGAGTGGTTAATTTAGAATCTTAAGATAAAAACCCACGCACATTTTAATATATTTAAGATCCTCATGAAAACTGTTGAAGATATTTAGGCTAAATGGATTTTCCAAACCGCGCACTGTGACCACCACCAGGCAGCTTATAGGCTCCATCCAATTGTGGCCTTTAGGTAAATTATTTAAAGCCAAAATTGATGAGAAAAAATTTGAGCCACTGACATAGTATCTATGCTGTAAAATACCGGGCTTCTTTTTTTTTCTTCACCGACTATTTAATTATGACAAAACAAAGACTCACAAAGACAAACTTAACTATTGTGTATAAAATGTCCCTATCTTCAAAAATAGTAGCAGACCAGGGTCATTTTAGTGCCTATAGAAATTTTATTAACGATATTTAATAAACAAACCAAACACTGGTAGGTACATGTGGACGGAATGCCTAGTTCAGCATCCCAAGTTACCTAATGCTTTTAGGCATCTATTCAATACTATCATAGATTTAAGAGTAGACCTAGATAGCCTACCTCATGCAATACTAAAATGAGTGTTAACACTTTTTGGGCCCAAAAACCAACTAAGTTAGATGGTGTTAGTAGCGAAACCGACTGAGCAGTTGCCATAGCAAGGAAGAAAGCAGGTTGGTCTAGTGGTAGAGCGCAGGACTTTGCACCCCAAAATTCCAGGGTCAAATTATTTCAACACCAATGGATTTTATCTAGAATGATAATACCGCAATCTTCTGGTCTAGCCTGAAGCAATGTGAACAATTGTGAGATGAAGCCAAACGTTCAAAGATGTGAAGGCGGGACATTAAAGAAAACTATAGGCCTACCAGCGAATCACAATAAACATCGGACAGGAAACATAAGTGACAGACCGGGATGTCATCACTTGTTGTCTAGTCAGTGACAAGTTCAATAAGCATCATGTCACTGTCTCGTGTCTCCATCGGTATCTAGACCTTGACTTTCCTTCACTCTTAGAATAGTTTGACATATAAGGTTAAAAATATGTTCTCATCATTCATAACAAAACTTATCATATAATGTTTTTCAAACAGTTTGTAATGACTCGAAAAAATTGTGCAGGAAAATATAGGCAGGTTGTAACTAAGCCTGTAAACCAATTCGCTCTGTCACGTGTAGAATGTGTATTGCAAATCTTGAATAAATAGAGTTTTGGCAAAATATTAGAATTCTAGATTTATTAAATGAAGAGTTTGAGTTTCAATGCATTTAATTATTTTGACGTTTGTCTCCTTGAGTTTGAGACAGCAAACAATGGAACCTGGCAAGGTATATTCGTATGTCCCTAAATGTTATTTTGGTTTTCCCTGGGAAGAGGGGAGATTTCAAAAATTTTTTTTTTTAGAATCCCAGTAACACTGTGACGATTGCTGAACGTTGCTGTTATAACTAGAATTCAAAATTTGCTGTGAATCCAGAAAACAGTTTTGAAAGCAGCCAATTATTTTATAATTAGCTAATTTCAAATAAAACATAGCTATTGGCAGTCGTTAAATCTAAAGATGGAGAGTTTTAGTTTTTTTTAGCACATTTTTGATATCATTAGGCCTACCTATTTCATTGTGTTTCACCCACTATTTAATTGTGCAAAAATAGTCTAGAAGTAGCATAAATTGATGAGTCAGTTCGTTATAACCTAACCTTTACCTTCCTAATCTAACCTCACTTCAAAACACTTAATATAGTCACAAATCCGCATAAAACCCGACCTACCTTCCTCACATGCCTAAATAAGAACTGATTAAAACTTATTTGGTTTCAAAACAAATTGATTTCATTCCGCATTAAATCGAGTATTAAACAGATGTTTGCTATTCTCCTCACTCAGTCCGCAGTCCACATACGGACCTGTCCAGACCACACCATATACCATCAGTAGGGTAGCCTAAGCTCAATGAACCTTAGATTCGTCATTTTAACCTTCGTTTTACGTTCACTTATGAATCTCTCCGACAAAAACTGATTGCATTTTTGGATTCAGCGTGAAAAATACTGTAGGCTAAGTAGACATCTAAAAATTACACAATATCGCATTGTAGATTATCAAATATTTGCCGTTTCATTTAGTCAGGATTACTTATTTAATGCTCAAAGATCAGGGACAACTGGGCCCAGTTTCGAACGTTTAAAAAGTTACTAACCTTTCTCAGGATCGAACCGGACCTTTTGATTTTAACGTGAGCACATTAACCGCTAGCGCTTATTAGCAGCTACCACCTCTGATTCAACCCATGTCGTAGGCTATGCCTAGGAAAAATTCGCATTAAACATAGGTTACCCTTGTGAAGACATGTTAACTTAGTAAACAAATTTTGAACTAGGCTACAACTTGTAAGCTTAAGTGCTAAGCTCTCCGCTCAGACAAGTTAAAACTCTTTTCTTTAAATCTACTAAAAAATAAGACCATTCACTTACCTGTAATTAAAACACAGCGAGACAAACGAAGACTGAGTGGTGTCCCAGTTCAAAACACTAATTCACTTCCAAAACAATCAATGCACCAATTCAATAAAGGCAGAATTTGAGATTTGTATGTATTGGCCTATCAGAACTATTTCAATAGTAAAACCAAAGTACAACACTGTTTGCACACTACTTAAATAATTTGTCTCACAAAGCCCTGATAGTATTATACGGAAAATTCCTAATTAATTAATTTACACTGACGTTAAAACTATAACCAAAAACTTCAGTAGTTTCTTCCGTTCTTGTTGTATATCTTTCCTCTTCCTCTTCCTAGAATTTTATTGATTAATACTTCAAAACAGCTGACTACCAAGGACAAGCAAACATAATCACAAATACAATAAAGACTAAAGGAAATATGAGTTTTATTTAAGTTCATTGATCACAGATGTATAATAATGGTATAAAGGCAGCATCAAAGATTTGCAGACCGAAAATCTTGCTTCCTTACTTCCAAAACTCTGGAATTAGAGCGAATCAAGACTCCAACCCAAAAAGAAGCCACCTCAAAACAATTATGTTACCTACCAAACAAAAGTAAATTTGCTTTGTGGGGTGATACATACACGGGAGCATGCACGATGACCTTAACTTGAATAAATATGTGGTGGTAGGTTGTCGTGGTGGCACTTAGTCACTACAAGATTGTTGTCACCTCGCCTTTGACGTTGACGGTAGGGCTCGAGTGGTGGGTTGTTGGTGTGGCATCTTGAAGGTGACCCACAGGAACTAAAAATCACCTGATGGTTATTGATAGGGGTGGGTAGATCCCTGACTCCGAACGAAATGACTAATCTGAATATGATTTAGGCTATGCATTCATTTAAGTAAGCATGTCTTTATTTAAAATTGAAAGCCTGTCTGCTCTCCAGATTTAATCATCATTTACTGGTACTGTACCAGAAATAACAGTAATTCTTTTTACAATTAATTACAACTCATGTTCTTATCATAGTAAAAATTCACATGCACTGGTTACTTTCAACATCCAAATTAAATAACCTTCTCACTACGCTAACCATAAAAAACTAAAATATATATAATAACAAGTAAAAAAGATTAATATTAAACACGACATGTAAGAATGGAACCATAATAATAGAGATCGATGGTAAGAACAGGCTGCCATAATAATTATAAAATGTGCATAAGTGATTTGAGGCATTTTTGTGATAGTAAAACTAAGTAGTAAACCTAAAATCACTTAGGTTATTTTTGTAAACATAATACCCAAAAATTCGGCGGAGTTAAAGGCGGCAATTTTTCAATTCTCAATAATCTATGAAACAACAGGATAAAAATGCTAGGCTGGGCTACATTACATTTTACATTCTGCATTTTAATAGACCAGAAAATACAGGACTGAAGCAGACAGCAGTAATGTTTTTCTCTATTCGAGGTTCGTTCGTAAAAACGTCAATCTTTGGGCTTGGGCTTGATTATTTTGTAGTTTACATTACAACCTGTGACGTGGACGTAAAAACATTAAAAAATTACGATGAATTGCTGATTTTCTTTAGGTATTCTAGTGGTATAGTTTACTTATAAGGTAAAATGAAAATATCCTTTAACATAGTCTTTAAAGCAACGATTCTCGGGTAGAATAAACACTCATCTATAATGAATAGAGGTTAGCTTACTTTTATGATCATACCTATTTTATTTCTTTATCTGTTATTATATTCTTTTGAGAAAGATTTCCATTTTAGTAGCTTTATATTCTTCCTCCTTAACATACCGTGTTGTATTTAACATGTTTGTTAATATAGAAATTATTATTATTTATTGCTGTTGTGCTAGGCTATAGGTGATGTAAAGTAGTAAAGTTAGCAACATTTTGTGATGAAACTCCCAGAGAGAAAAAAATAATTCCCCCATACTTTGTCTTTGATGAGAACTACTTAAGTATATTTTATAAAAGTGTTCAGATAGTAAGTGTGACATAATAGCCTACCTGTTTCTAGCCCCTAACTAACAAAGTATTCGATAGAAATAAATTCACTAACATCCCATCAAGTTTACAATAGTATATTTCATTACTAGGACCGAAAGTGGCATTTTCCGGCGCGCGCTCAAGTTTTTGTGTGAGGCAAAGCCGAACACAGGTAACCCCAATTTCACGTGCGAGGTGAAGCCGAGTACGTGAGAGCTATTTTCTTGTACGAGGCGAAGCCGAGGACGGGAATAATGGAGCAAGTGCCGGATAATAACTTTCGGTACCGTACGAGTTATGAACGATACTTTTCATCACGACGCAAAAATACACAAACACAGAATAGCAGACCTCAGTAATATTACAATAATTATCTATCAAACAATTTGTTTAAACATAAAAATAAAATATTCTAAAGGAAACCTTAGTATATTTCTCAATACTTCAAACATCAAAATAAAAGTTAAAAACGACTGAACAATACATACAGCTGATTTAAATCATTAAATGAAACCGTAACAAGACACTAGGGCACATAGTGAATAAATGGAAAACTAATTGAGAGCGAGGGAAAGTAAATTTAGAGCGAGGGAAAATCAGCTGATCGATTTTCCCTCGCCCTAATTATAGCTTGGGAAACGGCCACGTTCATTGATGTCGGCTGTTATCGAAAATAGTTACTTTCGGTGAGGAGTGATGAAAAAGCTTTAACATATTGCTTTAGCTTGTTAATTAGGCCTAATCACAAATTACTTTTTGTTGTAGGGTTTAGCAATTGAAAGACACAATAAGCTAACTTATGTTCATCAAGTTGTGTTTGTGTAGGCTTAAATGGTTTAAAAGGTTAATAAATAGATTTATTTTTGTTAGCTTAGGGCCTACCTATTTTATAAAAATAGATGTGAGTATAATAAGTTAGTTCCTCTGTGTCCAAAAGTTAGGCTTCTTTATAATGAAGCCAAAATGGAAGTCCTGTATCTCTTGTTATGAGACAAGATGCACCAGTAATATTCAGTAATGTATTGCAGTAATATTGTTATGTTAAATATGCTTAGAAGTATGGAGCAAACCGAACATATCCATATCAAACAATTTTACACCTCTTTTCTAAAAATTTTGCATGTGCCAAAGTAGGCCTACTTAAAAGTTATTTTTACAGATAGAATGAGGAGAGCACATGCGGGTAACTATTACGACCCACTGCCGACGCAATATGATGGCGACGCTTTGGAGGAGTCCAATGAGCAGATGACATCGGAGCTAAAGGACAAGATTTCTGCCCTAAAGTCTCTTTCGATTGACATCGGCAATGAGGTCAAATACCAGGATAAACTTCTCCGAGACATTGACACAGACTTTGAAAGAACCGGAGGATTTTTGGGAAACACCATGAACAGGGTAATTCGTCTGGCTAAAGGAGGACACAATTACTATATCTTCTATCTATTCTTGTTTTCAATCATAGTATTTTTCATTCTCTACATTGTTCTAAAATTCAGATGAGAAAAATTATTTGTATTGGTGGTAGCTTCTGCTATTGTATATTAATTCAGTAGGCTATCCTTACTACTTGTATGTGTATATAGCTGTATAAATTCATTATTTCTGCTGTTATTGGATTAAACACACTTTTTAAACAGTTATAGTAGATGTGTCTATTTTCAACCAATACAACTTAAATTAAGCTATGGGTTGCACAACTTAGATCTTTTTACTGACAATTTGACATTCTTTGACTCATATTACAAATAATTCTGAGACCAACTTATTAATTTATAGCATTTAAAGCAGACAACACAAGCTACAAGAAATTAATCAAATATAGTATACGTTAATTAATTCCAAAGTACATACTTTCAGCAAAATTTTCTTCGTAACCTTTGCAGCAATTAATGCTTGATCTGCATTACCCAGTTACCATTCGATGACAACTAATACCTCAGGTAACCTTAAATACACTATAGGCATATTATACCTACAGTAGTTGCGACCGACGCAACCTAAGGACATACTGGTACTAAAAAATTACAAACATGAAATTAAGTTCATTCAGTTGACTCTTAATCAAACACGGGTATGGGACTGGAGAGTGTCAGATTATCGAAAACATCGGATTACTAAAGTCAAGTCAGCTGTGTGTAAACTAGGCCTATCACCTATCAAACATGACACCAAATAATGTACAGTACGATGTCTAAACTTGAATTAAAAAACACAAAGTAATTTAAACACTTAGCTATACAGTGTAGCTAACCTCAGTTACTTGCACATCTTTTCACTGAACATCTTTGTCTGAGACTGAGGCTAGTAGCGTAGGCCTACCTACTTGTGACAGCCGGAAACAGACAGTCGTCTGCCTGTCGCGACGTGCAACACTTGTACAGTACAGGACAGTTCTGTGCTAATACACTGTCGATGGGGTGCGGAATACCGAGTGTGTCGGACTAGTAAATGTCAGATTATCAAGAGCCAACTCTACTTTCCATGTGTTTTACTGGTTTTTTTTTATTTTACCATATGACAATTAATTATTTACCCATGGTTATCTTGTTGTTTTATTTTTTTTTACAAGATTGCCTGTTAAAATTGCCTTAAAATAAATTTATATTTTCAATTACAATTATTGATTATACAAGTACTATTTCAATACTTTGAATGGTGAAATCGTTCAATTTCACGTTAGCTTCGTACTGACGTCCTACAAATTAATAATTTGAAAGAGTAGGTGGATTTTTGGAATAGCGGGACTATACTGTAGCCTGCTGTAAAAATCCTAGGAGCTATGGGTTAGTGCCTAGTTGCATTATTCGTTACCTAACAAAAATCATAAATTGATGGTAAAAACCAACAGACGTAACTAGGTTAAATAAAACAAAACAACATATTTAACTAAATATTTAACACAAATAACACTGCACTTAACATTAGTGTAACAATATCTTCAAACAGGTTCTGGCGCTTCAGAACTCCAAATTGAGTACAGTTTTTAACATTTGTTTGGTCCAAATCACTTCTGTCGATACTTCCACAATGAACACATCAGCCAAAACCACAGTAAATGCAAAAGGTCTAAGGTGATAAAGCCATCGAAGGAACAGAACATATTGTGTAATGGAACAGTCTTAACAAAACTCATTGCACTGTACTATTTACAGACTAGTTGACAGGCAGACAAGCATAAGTAGGCAGTGTTATTTAAAAACTTTTTGGCTTCCAAGGAAATTTTGATGGTTCCTTTTTCCTCGCTTCTTCTAATTTTTTACTTTCCTCCTGCAACAAAAAGATTAAGCAAAGGTTTAAATTCTTGTACAATTTTTAAAAAGTTACCAAGAGGAGAACAATTTTTGGGACAACCACGACTTTGTAAAAAGAACCAAATCATTAAAAAAACAAGAATAAGAGCAAAAAATTAACATAAAAAAATAATAGTTTGAATGGTCTTCAAGGTAAGGTAAAATGAATGGGAGACTGTTGTTTTCTGGAGTCTTTCTATGAAAGTGTGATGCAAAAACTGCAAAACTAAATTAGTTGTAAAAATGTATAATGGTTATTGTACCATTATTGTGAGAATGATATACACAGTTTTTTCATATTCGGTTAGAGATTTTTCCCAATCCCCAAGTTAGTACGCAGGCCCACAGTTTGTTTGCGCTCAACTTGAGACATAATTGCACCCCTTCTTCCTGGGTAAATTTTTCTCTTCCTTCAACCCAAGAAACCTAAAACCTCTTGCTCCCCTGGGCCCAGCCCAATTACTAAAGCAGCCCTGTTAGTGCAGGTGACATTTTACGAGTTGGTCTCCATCGCAACAATACAAACAACTGTAAAATTTACATTTGATTTTTTTACATTATCTAGATAACCATTTACTTAGACTACAACTCAAATGATAAAATACTTAGTCATAATATAAGGTTATGTTTTTAGGAAAAAGCATTTAGCTTGGATTAAATAACTATATAGCCTAGGATGGAGAGGATCACAGCTATCTCACCTGATGAAAGGTTGCAGACAAGTCAAAGAGCACATAAAACACACACATAATAATACTTGATATTTCGCCTCAAGAAAGATGTGTGTGTTTTTATGTGCTCTTTGAAACGTCTGTAACCTTTCATCAGGTGAGTTGGCTGTGTCCTCTCCATCCTATATATTTATTTAGCCATAATATAGGAGTTCATAAGAAAGTAGGTTGAGAGAAACTAACTCTATCCTAAAAGGTGGGGGGGGGGGGGTGAGGGATAAAATATCTTGCAGTTTATTCGATGAGATTGATAGTTTGTCTACGCTATGAAATAAGAAGATAGAACATTACATTTTTCCCACTACACTCTTTCATTCCCATTCATCGTATTATGAAGCATTATTATTTCAACCGCTAGAGATAATCTTAAACAGAAATCGAGCTGGTCTAATGGTAGGTCCCTGACTCAAATCCTGCAAATCACCAAGGAATTTGAACTAAGTGAAAATGATGCATCCCTCTAGGCCTAGCCTGAAGTAATGTATACAGTTTAAACTGGTTAAATGATTTAAAAAGGTACGGTGTAAACAGTTTCCTCGGCTAGGGCATATATGCCCTAGATTGTGAATGCAAGACATTAATATTAAAAAATTCTAGTTTAAACAATAGAGTTATTCAAAGATTGTTACCAAGAGTTTGATCTGTCGCTCCTTGAATGTCTCTAACGGATCATCATACTGACTGTAATGCAACAAAACGTCTCTCACATCGTCTACCTGGTTGTCAGCGATCGCTGTAACAAGTCAATATTGATAAACAAACATCCAGTAAGGATAAAACATTAAAGATAGGTTGTAAACACAAACCAGTTAAACTAGAATGAAGGCTTTCAACGTCAAACTACATAAATAATAAATGTAAAATTTTGCATCTCTGACAAGAGGTCCCTTTTTGCTCATTTAACATAGAACATGTAAGTATCGGTTAAAATCTCAAATAGAAGATGCAAAAGGTCGAAATAAATCATTTTGTTAACCTCTGCATGGTATGAGAAAAGGTACCTCTTGTCGCTCAATGTTATTTCGCCATAACGACAAGAGGTCCCATTTCTAATATTCCCTTTTAGCGAATTTCCCATATAGGGAATAAGCTATTACCGTAGTACTCATGGTAAGACCTAGACCCGGGATCGATTTATTTTTTCATTTTGAGGTCCCTAGAGGCCAAAAACACCATCCGTTCAAATTCATACACATATATATATATGTGTCCGTCAGCACGATAACTCGAGCAAAAATGATCCGATTTTGATGAAATTTGGTACAAACGTGTAAACCTACATTTATTCGAACGAGTTCGCGAACCAGCATGATCGGACTATGGGAACGGGGGTTTATGGGAGGTTTTATGGGGTAAAAATAGGTTTTTCCCATTTTTGACCCTAAAAACACAAAATTTTACAATTTATTTCCAAACCATTTTGTAGAGCTTAAAAAAACAAATAATTTAGTATATTTAATAATTTATTTATTAATTATTATTATTTATTATTATTTATTATATTTATTTATTTATTTATTAATTATTATTATTTATTATTATTTATTATTTATTATATTTATTTATTTATTATTATTTATTATAATTTATTTATTTTATTTATTAATTTAGTATATTGAAGCGTTATTGTGCGCCTAATGGTTACAGAGAAAATTCCAAAAAATTGTAAATTTAAAATCCCTATGTTATTCTTATGGAGAATAAGTCAACTGTTGTAGTTTACTTGTTTATGAACATATTTTGATCGAATTTGGAAAATCCATTCATTTCTTACTAAACTATTAACATAAAAAAACCACCTTTTTACCCTCCCTGTTGCAGCAAACCTAAGTACTCGTTAAACTAATTCTATTTAAATAGGGAATAAATATGATATTTTTAAAGAGGCATTTTAATGTGAAATCCTATCAGGCTAATGGAAATTCGCTTAGTCAGCAGGTTTACTGCGGTGGGGGTATTTAAACAGATTTTAGTCCAAAAAATGAATTGTCCTGCATTCTAGTGGAAATTTAGAGAACTAAAACAAAGTTCAGTTCACGACGAACAAAATATTTCACAAATTTTGCGGTCCCGACAAGAGGTACCTTTTCTTATCTTGTGGCGAAATAACATAGGGCCGACAAGAGGTCCCTTTTCTGACAGCGATTTTTACTACATGCTTCAATAAAACAATTAAGTTATTTAAATGAAAACTTTTAAAGTTAAGAAATAAATTTGTATTTCTTTCATAGAGGATACTAAGCTTTCTTTTGATACCAAAATCGTTTCTTAAATACGAAAAACACTGATTTTATGTGTATTTGATTTTTTTTTTCTCAAAATGACACTTTTCCATAACAAAATTTCAAAGTCCTATAACTTTAACAACAAAAATCATACATGCGTGGGACTTGCACCAATCGATTCGGAAATTAATAAGGAATTTAAATATATATATAACTCAAAATCAAAAATTCCCTACAAGAGGTCCCTAATCACTTTCCACATCACAATAATTTATACTGTAATTGACCAGCCATCCTAAGAAAAAAAAACAGCTATCCGAACAGCGGCAGTCCCCAATTGTTTTGTATGATTGACCATCTACTGTATCCCTATTTAGATTTTTCTGAAGCAGTATTGACACCTAGAAGTATCGGGCTTCAGTAAACAGGCATTATTGAATCATAAACAGGCCAGATAAGCAAGTATCCACTGTCTACTTCTGTAATTAGATTAATTTGTTCTCAAGGTATGGCCCTTACTATAAAGTTTTTGACTATGAGGTTCCAAGAACTCAACTGGGTTGAAGAAACCTTTTTCTATTTTCTAGATGCTTCTCACGTTTGTGGTTAGCGTATAAAAAGATAAAAATACAAGCTCAGAAGGCTCATTTAACAACAAGCTATTTGAGTAAAAAAATATTTAAAAACTGGCTTTAGCTGGGCCTTATATGGATGCTTTGTTTAGTATCACAAGTCAATATGACTTACTTCTGAGGAAAGCCGCAAGTTCTATAAGTGAAGTGTCGTCGACATCACCCTTCCACTGAGGAATTAGGAGGGTGTTGGCTCGATGTAGCTTCACCGAGTCTGGATTCCAGTCTACCACTATAACCTGTGAATCAATAAACAGGGCTTAAAAACAGTAAAACTTAAAAACATCATGCGCTTTGCCTCTATTATCAATTCTTGTTTGAATACTTTAAGTTTTGCCCTGAACGGGTTAGAGTACTGGATGGTATACATTGGAAATTTCAGAGATTTTGTATTTAAAAATGGATTAAAATAAATCAAAACCAGTGATTTTTTAACAATACTCCCAAGTGTACAGATAAATTGATTGAGAATTTGGTACCATGGTAGTGGTGTGCGAGTTGATGGGTATTTACGAGCGAATTTTTCAGTACTCAGCTCGGCTCGAGCTTTCCAAGAAAACTCTTAACTGTCAAGCTTTCAATAAGTTTGCTGGAAGCATTTGAATCTTTACAGTATGGCAGAACCAACACAAAATCTCCACTGTATCAAGTGATAAAAGCGTAGACTATGTATAGCTATACCAATGGTGGACAATTAACCTAGTGTTGCTTACCCTTTTAAGGTCTCTGTTGAGGCAGTCCAAGTTCTTGACATGATGTCCGTCAATGTAATCCGTCGCGTCTCTGAACAAACGGTACATGATGCTGCCCTTGGAGTCTAGCGTTGCAAGGATGGGGAAGGCAATCTGTCAGCAGTCGCCAACATTAGTCAACATGATTTGTGTAGTTTGAAACAAAGATTGGATCTTAATTCCTATACCCAATGTATTATTTCGCTTCTAAAAACTGTCAATATTAAGAATTTTAAAACTTGACTATATGGAAATTTAATCTTACTTTAAGTGTGGATTAGCCAGTGGGAAAAAGAGTGTCTGGCTTAGTGGGTTTAATGTGAATTGTACATAGCACCAGTTTTGCTTATTTTAACACTAGAATAGAAAAGGACACAGATTTGTTCTTTTAAGTGAATTTCCCATATATGGAATAAGCTATTGCCATAGTACTCATGGTAAGACCTGGATCCGGGACCGATTTAATTTTGTTTTGAGGTCCCTAGAGACCAAAAACACCATCCGTTCAAATTCATATATATATCATCATTAAATATGTTCACATTGCCTTGAAATGCATATGCCATAACAGGCAAAATTAAATGGTAACTACAAAAATACATTGGTTAATATAAAATTTAAAAAAAACTCCTTTGTCAAAGGGTCAAGGCAAAGATAAGTCTTGAATGAATGAGTTGATAGATTTACTGACTATTCAAATGATATTTTTACTTACCATTCCTGGTTCTGCAGTGTATATTACAGTTTCAAACAAGGGAGGTGCGACTTGTTCCAAGAACTGGTCCACCCCGGGTCTCTTCTTAAACCTCCACCCGGTACTGTACTGAAATAGTAACACATTTCACATAATAATACCACAACAACACAATACCAACAGAAGAGGTTATACATAGGCTATAAGCTTTGGTAGATACATTAGATGAAATACTGTATTCCAATCCCAATGGAGAATAACAATTTTTAAATCTCAAATTGACCTGTTCAATATAGATATAACGTATTGTATATCTTTGGGGAATATACGTTACGGCAACTAGAACTATCAACTCACGGTCCACTCTGGGTGCACTAGAAGGTCCGTCATCTCTAGTACTAGTGTGTAGGGTGGCTGAATGTACGGGTATGTTACAGGATCTGGAAGTAGCTTCTTGCGTGACGGTTCTTGTATCATCTGCGAAACAAGTTGAAAAGTTGATGTAACAAAATTCTTTTAAAGATTTTTTAGGCTTGTTCTAAACACCCACTTCAACATGATATCCACCAGTTCATCAGCCTTTGAAAAGTGATGAGAAGTTATGCATTTCTTTAAAATAGGACAATAAGATAAGATTTTGATAGAGACAACACGGTTGTAACTTAATACCTTTAAATAAAGACTTGAGTTTCTGTAAGCCCTCTTGAGATACTGTGAGACAGTAGGTAATCTGGAGAACTCGTCTTCTTCGAAGGAACCGTCTTCATTCTGCAGAGGCGCTCCTGAAACAAACATTTTAAGTACATCAAATAATAAATCTTGCTGAACCAATCACATTCTGATTAATACCCATGGAATCAGTGGCGGCCGGTAAGAAACCACGGCCCCCCGCACGATTGGTTACCAGTGCCTCCCTCTCCCAAGAAAACTTTAAAAACATTATCACAGGCCACCTAAGCTTACACTTGGAATTGACATGGCATCTCCCGAAGCATCATCATCTTCAATGATTGCGGCAAAATCCTGAATATCTTCATAGGTCACGGAAATATTATCAACGTATTTCGTGACTGTGGCCAAATGTACCGTCACTGCAACCAAATCCAGGATATCTCCTGCAGTCGTTTAGACAACATTATCGTCCCTTTCACGATGGCGGCCAAATCCCTAATGTCTCCCTAGGTGAAGGAAACATTATCTTTCACCGCAATCGCAGAAAAATTCTAACATTCTCCTGCGGAAAAAGATCACCATCCATCTTCTTCTGTATCAAAATCTCAAATACACAATTGTGGCAAAAGCGTTAATATTTCAATTGAATGGGTGTGATCCTCACAAATGAACAAAAATAGGTCACACACTTTGGTGGGTGGAGTGGAAGGAGAGTCAGTTACTTGCTAAATTGTCCTCAAGGAACTCCTTGATGGAGAAATAGGCAAACAGAGTTTGCTGATCTTTCATCGTTCTCTCAAACTTCCTGGACTCGAGGTTTATCAAGCTCTCAGCTTATTGGACAGCTTCCATGCCATAGCGGGGAAACAGCGTTGGGTCCTTGTTAGGCGGTATCTAGGTATATCAATCTTGGTACAGCTACATGTAGCATGATGGTGGACATCGCGGATAGAATGTAGGCACGCCTAACCTTCTGAAGATGGGCTTGCTATGTTCACGCCAGGCACTAGACGTTATGACACGCAGGGCCGCCTTATGCAACCTCAGCACTGCCTCACAGCTCGAGTAGTGACTCCAGAGTAGCATGCCGTAACTCAAATGGCTATAGAAAAAGCCGTAGTAGATGGTCAAGAGACTATATATAAATACATCTACAATATATCTAATATATAAAATTCTCGTGTCACAGTGTTTGTCTGCAAACTCCTCCGGAACGACTTCACCGATCGTTATGAAATTTGGTGTGTAAATTCTGTAGGTATGCGAATCGGACGTAAACTATTTCCCGTTTCGAAATTCTTAAAAGGGCTCCGCCCCAGTGGCTCTGGAGTTTCCCATGTTAACCTTATGAGAAATGGAATTAATGAATCTTAACAGCTGTTTCAATTAAACAAGTTGGTTCTGTTCTATGATGTTCAATAGCATTAAAGTTACAAGGATTACCAACAGGGTGCAGCACTATTATTTCTTTTACATTTATGACAACAGCTAATTTGCAACCAAAAGGTGAGTGAGCGTAGCGAACGAACTTCAACCTGGAGGCGAGTGAGCGTAGCGAACGAGCTAACCTGGAGGCGAGTTAGCGTAGCGAACGAGCTCCAACCTAAAGGCAAGTGAGCGCAGCGAACGAGCTCCAACCCAAAGGTGAGTGAGCGTAGCGAACGAACTTCAACCAGGATGTGATTGAGCGATGCGAACGAGATCATCTTGAAAATTAAACGTAACGGTACTTTCTTTCCATCGGTCTGTCTTAGGGGAAACCTATAACTTAGGCGATACGAAGTTCGCCGGGTCAGCTAGTTAATATATATTATTCTCTAAGACAATGAGACTAAGATAAATATATCTTACATGAATCACATTCAAGGGAACGCCATACCAATCTCGACATTCCTACAGTATATAACCATGACATAATTCTGTCCTTGATCATATTATATGCAAAAATCATACCAGAGGTCAACACACCCAATCTCCCCTTAAATAACTTACAATCCAGGGAATGCCATACCAATACCAAATGACCTAGGGCCCCTCCACCTTCCTGGCGTGATATAACCATGACATCAGTACACCTCTAGTAACTGTTGACGGCCAAGAAACAACTTTAAAATACCTAAATGACGCATATGCGTCGTACGCTTGTGACTTTCAGATTGAGTTGCGTATATATACGTTCAACGCTCGCAGCTGTAATTTCTTATCAGTTTAGTTTATTTGCGGTAGAAAGTGAAGGTTTTCTAAAAACGCTGTCAACTTATTTTAGTATAATTAGGCCTAACAATAACTTACTTATTCAAAATTAAAATTCTTTATTAACTCATCACATCTTAAAATACACAAGGTACAAAAGATTGGAGTGTCGTCACAATATAAACTACAGTAAACTCCCACTTATCCGGACTCCTCGGGACTGAGGCCAGTCCGGATAGCAGTTTTTCCAGTTAAACCGACGTCCCCAAAAACTTGTTGAAACGGACCGTTTACTGTGATATTTGAAATAAATTTAGGAGAGCATTGTATTTAGACACGTGATCACGGGTCTAAATTCTTTCCCACGAGAACAGTCGTTTCAGTACCGCCCACTTCCTGCTCATCTAGTCCGGTTAAACCAATGTGCTGATAAAAATTGGCCAGTTAAAGAGATGTAATTTCTACCGATTTTAATCCGGTTAAACCGATGTCCGGATAAGAGGGAATCTACTGTAAACCTAAACTAAAACTATTAAAGTTAACAGAAGAAAAATATCTTAAATAACCAGAAAAGAACTTATAATCCGGCATATCATTTTACAAAGTGTCCTTAAAATAAACTCTTCTACAGTGTAGTAGGGTTTTTGTAGGAGAAGATGTAAGGGCAAAGTTCTTGGAATTATTGTTTTGTAAAATGCTGTACAATTTATTATTAACTTTTACTGCCATGTTTGGAGAGTTTCCATAGAATGAAAGCCTATGCCGAGGAAATATCAATTTGTCTGATGTTGTGTTGGATAGGTATGGTTGAATTTATAGTCATCAAAAATTTTAATATCATTGAACATTAGTTTAACAATTTCAACTAGGCCTAGGGCTATATGAAGATTTGTAAGTGTTAATGTACCAATATCTTTAAATAAAAGATCTGCAGCTTTTTCTTCTCTTAACTCGAGCCATAGTCCTCACTATGGATTTTTGAGCGCTAAAAAGAACTTTTGTTTGGGGCTGACATCCCCAAAGTACTATTCCATAATAGCTAATTATTGATTCGATATAGACGTGGTAAGCCGTTTTACATAGGCTACATCCATTGATGTTGTAGCCTATTTACACTTATTGCAAACCTAAACGAATTTCACTTTTTAGACAAATATTGGGTATGATTTTCCCACTTTAGTTTATAGGCCTAATCGAAGTGTAGGCCTATTCCTAGAACCTTGTAGAAGACTGATTTTAGCTCTCCTCAGGATAAATTCTCAAACTTTTCACAATTAATAATTTTAAAGTATATTAATTGGGTTTTAGAATCATTCATCAAAAGACCATTTTTGTAAAACAAATTTTTAAGTTCATCCAAAGCTTTTTTACCTAATTGATTGTTCTAATTGCTGAAAACCATTGTTTTTTACCACGACATTAGTATCATCAGCGTACAAAAATACACTACCGTCTGTTATACCGTATATTTGAATCAAGGTCATTAATGAAAATCAGAAATAGCAATGGCCCTAAAATAGAGCCTTGAGGTACGCCATAATGGACACTATCCCATCTGACAGAAACCGTTTGTTCTGTTTGTAAACTAGGCACTGAGCGTTGTTTCCTGTTTAGTAACTTAGGTAGTTTGAGATAGACCTAAGACCTTTTCTCTTATACCAATGTTTTTTACTTAGTTTGTAGATTAACCCTTTGCACTCCGACGTCCGAATTATCGGACGTTGTAATTTCGGCCAAAAACTCCGTGGTCCGAAATATCGCACGTCAGCAAAATCTCCCGAAAAATCCGACGTCCGAAATATCGGTCATCAGTAAAATCGATCGTACTGGCTATATAAATAGTCCAAACGCGCTAATATTATGACATATTTGTTAGAAAGAGTTGTGAAATATTACTCTATGCTTTTTTTCTCCTTTCGTAGCTGTAATTTTGTGCTTGTCATCTTTTGTTTTTGTGGTCTATGGCGCTGGCCGGCTGACGCAATCCAGCTGTCTGCAGTAACTGGGAGGTCGGTGTTTGTTTGCTGTTTGCATTGTTATTGTTTATGTTTACTGCTAATGTTTCTGTTTACAGTTTGTTTAGAGTAAAATTTTAACCTTTTATTTATTTAGTTTACAATGGAAGATTCAGACAGTCCTGATGAAGATATTTATATCAGTAAAAGACGCAGACGACAATCACCAGTTAGCGAAAATACACTATTTAGAAACGTAGTGGAATCTGGTGTTGGTGTTTATGATGACTTGAGTGACAGTTTTGTGGAAAACATATCAGATTCTGAAACTTCTGATAGTGAAAACGAAAGTGATGTTTTGTCAGGTTTTGATGATGATACTGATGAAGACCCTGACTATGTTTTATCAGAGGAAGAAAGTTCAGATGAAGATGCTCAACCTACAAAATCTCGTGATAGAAATATGCCTCTTGGTAGGCCTAGTGACATAGCTGAAAGTAGGCCTGTTGAGTTTGTTATTTTGAATTCAGGTAGGCCTAGTCCTAACCTAGCTTCAAATGGTAGGCCTAATCCCTCAACTAATCAATTGCATGATACCCAATTGCATGATACCAATAATGTAGATTTAATCCAAAATGTCCTTGAAGAAAATGTAGGCCTAAATGAGCCCCTTTTGAACAATGAAGTAAATGTAAATGCACCCCTTTTGAACAACGAAGTAAATGTAAATGCACCCCTTTTGAACTTGAATACAGTACATGCTACTATTGAAGATGTAATAAGAAATTCCGAACGTTGTGTAACCCCTAACCCTGACCCTGATATTCCACCAGATATGGACCCTAGTGAAGAAGAATGGAAACCTGTCCATGAAAGTGATGACCCTGGATTTGACCATGACATTTTATTTTTCGAACAACCTGGTCCATGCACTGTCCTCCTCGTGATTCTGAACCGATTGATTATTTTTATTTATTTTTCACGGTTACAATCCTAACAAAATTTGTAAGAGAAACTAACAGGTATGCTAATCAGTACATCGAATCACATCTACATAATTTGACCCCTAATTCTAGAGCCCATAAATGGAGACCGGTAACACTAGCTGAAATGAAGGCATTTATTGCAGTAATTTTAAATATGGGCCTAAATAGGAAACCGACAATTCAGAGCTACTGGGCAACATCTGACTCCCAATATACTCCCTGGTACGGAAAGATGTTTAGTCGATCTCGTTTTGAAAGTATTATTCAATTTTTTCATATGGTAGACAATTCAAATTTGCCTAAAATTGGGGAGCCTGGATATGACCCGTGTGCAAAATTTTCGCCCCTGCTAGAAGCCGCCAACAGACTGTTTAGGCTGTACTACACACCACATCGTGAGTTGTCGGTTGATGAAAGTTTGATCGGAACTAAATCAAGATCTCAGTTATTGCAATACCTCCCAAACAAACACCATCACAAATGGGGTGTAAAGTTATGGATGCTGTGCGATTCCATTTCGAGGTATTGCCTTGCGTTTTATTGTTACAAGGGAACAAAAAGTACTGGACAGAAAACCACAGGCCTAGCCTACAAAGTTGTCCACAAACTGCTTGAGATAGGCCAGTATCTGTACAAGGGTTACCATGTTTTCATGGATAACTTTTTTACTAGTATCCCTTTAGCTACAAGTTTGTATGAGAAACTTACATTCATCACCGGCACCGTACGAAGGAATAGAAAAGGCATTCCATCTAAACTAAAAGAAAAATTCGACATTGGCCAAAAGACCTACATGAGAAATGACCATCTTTTATTTTTAGGCTTCAGAGAGAAAAAAAGTCAGAAAAACCCAGTTATTTTATTATCATCTAAACATACTGCTAAGTCTATTGAAAAAATAAAAAAAAGAACAAATGAAAATTTAGTAAAAGAAATTCCTGAAATGATTGATGCATACAACCGTTTCATGGGTGGTGTTGACGGCAATGATCAAATGATGTATTGTTACTTGGATGAGAGACGCACCCTAAAATATTGGAAAAAAGTCACCTTTAACATATTTGCAAGAATCCTCCTAAATGCCTATATAATTTACTCAGAAAATACCAGCGGAAAAGTAATTTCAAGATACCACTTTACCATTTCTATTATTGAGGCGCTGTCTTCACAGTGGTACGAAGAAAAGAATCCTAGTAGAGCCCAAAAAGAAGATGGTCGTGGCGATGGACCAAATAACAAAACTCAATTTGGCATCACATCTTTACCTGGAAGACAGGAGAGGAACTGCTGTGTGTGCAGTCCTCTTAGCACAAGAATGGGAGGCAAGAGGAAAAAAAGCCGTACAATATGTGTTCGTTGTGGTAAAGGACTACATGGCGTTTGCTTCGGCGAACACAAATGCACCAAATAATAACAATTCCTGTTTGTAAATAGTTTTTTTGTCTTGTGTTTGCATAATTTGTAAATAGTTTTTTTTCTTGTGTTTCAATGATTGACTGCATGGACTTTTTTATGACTTTTGCATGGCATGTTTTATTGAGTATTGTAAAAATTAATGTGGTTGAATAGATTTACTTTTTGAATATTCTCGACATTTTTATTTTGCGTTTTCAACAATCATTAGTGCTAAGCTAAAGGCCCTACACAAAAACTTATTTTGAGTTTTTTCTACAATATTACTTTTACAATACCAAAATTTGATTTTTGGAAGAAATAGTTTGAAAAATGTAATGATTTGTGATACAGTCTTGGGGTAACCCTCATTTATCAAGATGCAAGTATTTTGGAGTTCGGACAAAAATTTTCAAATTTGCCTACAACTTCTTCATTTTTCAAGGTAGGTGCATGGAACTTGTGGTGTTTTGTTCAGAACTAAGTAGAGAATTTGAGAATACTAACATTATATATGGTCTCAATGGTTTTTTTTTAGATATACACGTTCAAACATAATATTTTTCTAAAAATAAGAAATCAAACGTATTATAATAAAAAATAATAAAAAAAAAATTATATTTGATATGGGTTATTTTCACTTATTTTTATGTAGAATTTCATAGGGAATAAAAGGAAACAAAAAGTATGTCTCTATCTGATCAGACAAGGAAGATACATAAATTTTACCAAACGCTTACAAAAATTAGTAAAAATGTCTGGAGTTTTTGGCTAGGCCTATCCGGCAAAGTACCGGCATTTTTGGCTAGGACCAAAAAATTTTTGCCGGAGTGCAAAGGGTTAAAAGTTGATGGTCTACAATCAAAAGCCCTGGACAGATTGCAGAAAACCCCTGCAACACTTTGCGATCCATCCAGAACCTCCGAAACTGAGTTCACAAAAACTGAGTTAACTTAGTGAAAGTCAAGGTAGTTATATGATTTTTTTAAAAGCCAAATTGAGATGGAGATTATTACTTATTTTGTAATATTGATTAACTTAAATATTGACTTCAATGATTTCGCTCTCAGTGGATTAGTTATTACTGTAAGTTACATCATCCTAAAGTATGTACCGGTAAACTTAAGCCTATGCTTGATTTTTACTAACCAAAAGAAATAATGATGTATCCACCCAAAAGCACGATTGAACTGCCCATAGCAATCAGTGACAGCTTCATTGTGCGCCATGACTGTTCACGTTTTCGAAGTTCTTCTTCGTCTTCTTCATTCTTCTCCCGCTGGTCTTTGTTTGGATTTGATCCGACACTCTCCTTAGGTGGTGGAAAAGCCGTTTCAAGAATCTTCTGCGGGTCTATTTTATCTGTGGCTAAACATTCAAATCCAAAGTAAAAAATTAGTGTTCAGCGGACAAACCAAGAAAGATAAACATAATAATGAGGATTAGAGCAACAAAGGTTTGAAGATTTAATTGTTACAAGTTACTAACTTACTCTATTGTGACAAAATAAAACTAAAAGAATTTATAAACTCATGAAGGCTATGCTTTGTTAACACGTTCGCTGCTGAGCGCTAGATGCCGGGACGGCGCCAGTTGCTGAACTACGCTCGGCCGCTGCGTGACATTGCCACCGATACACTGAATTACAGTAAAAACAACAGTAGTTATACTGGATGGCAATGTTCTGCAATAAAACTGGCTTTGGATATAGTACTAAGTGATTCTGATAGATAGCAGCACTACCCAGGTTACAGTCGGTAAAGTAGTGTCGCTATCTAGCAGGAAAGAGGTAAAACAAAGCCCTGTTCCAAACGACCCTGGTGGTGATTTGGGAAACTATATTTTTTATTGTCAGAAAAGTACGTCCCCACGAGCTGCAAAGAAATATAGAACGCTAGTGACGTGCTGGCTTATCCATAGCAACGTTAAACAACAATGAACGGTGACGTTCTGGAACGTTCTTAGCTCCTGGCGCCGGGGCCCGGCTGACGTTCCGGAACGTCCGTAGCAGCGAACGTGTTAAAAGTATATTGCAACTTACCATAGTGTCGGTATAATGATGAGCAGCCAACAGGTAAGTATTTAAAATATTTTATGGGGGAACTGCGGCTGCACTGGAAGAAAGGTGTTTTGAAAACTGAATTACATCGTCTAGTTATCTTCAATGTACTTGGACTATTACACAAAGCATTAAATACAAGTGATTTGGTTATATTATGGCATGTCCTTCCAATAGCTGCTGCCATGGTTTTGTTTCAAAATTTGAGTGGGCAGAACAGACCTGTAACACAATTTACTCAGACGACAGTGAAACAAATAGGCTTTGCATTATAACACATTCTTCAGTTTTCACTCTCAGAAAAATGTAATAAGTTAAGTTACCCGAAATGAAATTTTCGCCGAGTGCAGCAGAAGAGCAGACTGCTGGCTGAGTGCTGAACGAACATTGAGTTGATAAGAAGAAGAAAGATTTTATATATTTCATTGTTGTTGCCAAGTGAAGGCTAGCTTTGTGTTTTAACTATGAAACTAAGAAAACCTTGCAAACATTTATTGTTGACAAACGTACATTTTCTCATAACAAAATTAATTATTGATGATAAAATTTACATCACAACTTTGAGGGTCATTGGAGCTTGACGTAAATTGAACTCATTTGAGAAGTATGCCTGAGGGGGGTGGCCCACGCCCACCTTTAACTCCAGGCCGCGGCCTGGGGCCCATTACATAATAAAGTACAAACTAATATTATTAGTAAATCAGCTGATCGCCCAATGCAAATCTAATGGAAATTACAAGTTACAAGTTGTAACTTGAAACTTGTAGTTTATTATGAAATGGGCCCCTGGTAGAATTGGCAACATCGCAAGTGGTGTTGTTTTATGACAGACGTCCCATAAGATAACATGGCGTCTGCCATGTCTCATCAATGAGCTGATACTAGGTGACATCAGCTCATTGATTCGCACTTTATTGATTTAAATTTACATTTATGAAAATAAATTTATTAAAATATTGAAAATAAAACATACAGAATTGAAAACTGAAACAATACGAATTAAAAATGTATATCTGTACATGTTAAGTGGAGTCAATATTGTCATATTCCAGTAACCAATCTTTCGTAAATACAAAAATACCATTAGATGATTTTAAACAAAACAGCTATTACCACCACTTGCGACGTTGCCACTTCGAAGACCATGGCCTGGAGTTAAAGGCGGCCGCCACCTCTGGACCCGCCACTGTTTGTGACAAAGCTAAACCATAGATAAAACATACTCCTCAAGGAGTATGTTTTAACCTCCTTGAGGAGTATTTTTTATCTATGGCTAAACTAATTCAAAGCTGCTGTAACAAAGATAAAATCTTAAAATAAAGCTGCACTGACAGTCTACTCCATCCATTATAGTTTATCCTACACCAATTAATTATTCTTTTATTATATCTTGGTTTGAATACAGTATATTGCAAACTAAGTGTGTAACAATATTAATCAGTAAAAATATAATGTATTAATGTTAATTAAATTTTTTTTAACTTTGCATGTTGGATTATATAGAGCTATCGATAGCTTTTTAGCTTGAGAATTAATAGTTAAATATGTATTGTAGAGTGGTACTCATTGTTATAGCATCAAAAGTACTGTATAAATTTTATCATAATTTGTCATACATATGTATCCACATCCACTGATAACGAAATTATCAGCTATTTTATGAAGTTTGGCCACACTGCTGGGGTTAAACACCTGTTAGCGTTTGCATTGCATATATAGAAAAAACAAATGTCGAATGAAAGAAGAAACAAGATAAATTTATTTAAGGTTATGAATGGTAAGATTACTAGAGATTTCTTAAATTATATAATTATTTTAAAAACACCTCTTTAAAATGATTTTATTTCAGCTCAAAATTCATTAAGAACTTTTTTCAACCTTTTAGTTTATGTCCAAGTTTGTGTATAAATTTGTTGGAAGTAATTCAATGATTATTTACCATCAATCTGACTCAATAAAAACAGATTATTGACGTAGTAATAATCTGACCCTGGAAATTGTCCTACAATTACAAAATAGCGTAAATGTTCGTAAACACTTAGGATCAAACACCTCAATTCTGTTTTAAGAATCCCTATTTTTTTTTCTAGTTATATTAAATGAGATGAACAGCAAGTTTAGTGGCAAAAAACACTTAGCCCTAGCACTAGGCATTCATAGCTCAAGTTAACAAAACGTTTTTGAGTGTGTTTGATTTTAGAATTTTCTGGATGTCATCAGAATTCACAACTTAGAATTAATCAATTATTATAAAATGCGATCAGGTTCCCTAATAGGAGGAAAATCTACTTAAGTATTTTACTGTGGTTATGGTCTTTTAGACATGTAGGCCTTAAGTTATGACCTTAAAAACTTAGTACTCAAATTGGGGAAAACGAGGGTACAGTTTCTTAACTGGGGTATGCTAATATCGATTGAAACTAAACTTATCAAATTGAAAATATCGATTAATAATCAATATTTTTAACTAAGTTATATTTATTAACTATACAATTCAACTGTCATAACCTAACCTAACTAAAAAAACTAGATGATTATAAATAAATCGAATGAAGGTTTACTAATCTAACTTAATCGATGGTTTCAATCGATATTAGCATAGCCCAGTTAAGATATGCTAGGCCTACTTGTTTTATATTTTAAGTTACTGTACTTTGACGATTGCAATACATGTCTATTGCCATGTTTAAAGTATTATGACATTTCATTTCAAGAAACTGTATACCCGAAAACGACAGCCATTTTAAAATTCAAACAAGGTTATTTAGCATCATAATAGAGTAAGTTAATAGATAATATTTTTAATACGTGGGTGGTGTCTGTGATTGATATAATTACAAAATTGTATTCACAGTCGCACAAAATAGGCCTACAAGTAAGTTAACTAAAACACTGAAAGTTTTCTTAATAAGTGTTATTAAGTCATTATGGGGTGAGTTTTCACGGTAACAACAATTTTTTTAACGGTTAGGTAAAAATGTATAGGGTCTAGTGAATATATTTAGCATACCAACTTACACATTGTTAATAAACAATTTGAAACATTTTTTTACAGATGTTGAATCCTCGTGCAGGTTTTCTGATAAAGAGAGTCAATTTGAAAAATTATAACCCCGTGACTTTATTTGCATTATATTCTCGTAAAAGTAACTCCAACCAAGATGACAGTTTCAAGATAGTAGGAAGAAAAGGCGCTGAAACTAAAGATGGTAAGTGTCCAAATGGTGGTAATCCAAGTGGTTGTTTAACAACTAGGTTCGGGTCTCAATGGAGCCTTCTTCAGGTTTTCCCAAGGACATTGTCGCTCTTCTGAAGTTATTTTATGAACTTTGACGACCTTTGGATGAAGCTACCAGTCCATTGTGAGCCGAAACTAGTTGTTACACAACCACTTAATTGTCACTTGATTGTCAACATTATAGGTAGGCTAGGTATCTAAACCACTTTAATTGTATCTTGATAATCCGGAGGCTACCCATTCCCAAATACGTTGATTTATTTCACAAAAAGGCCGCAACGAACGCTGGACATAGTGACGTCATATGTTGGAGGAGATGACTGTAGTTCTCAATCCTGACGCCAGCGGCAGTAGGAGAGAACCGCTCAGTCAGTCGTCCTTCAACCACGAAACATTAGCTACACGACTTCCTACCAACCAATATCTGGCGATAGCCAATATTAAAATCACGAGACCATACGAACACCTAAGTGGTAGTCTAAGTATAGAGCCTCACGATCATGCTCTATTTAATTACCAGTCACGAAGGGATCCATAGAATCCATGAGAATCCATAGAAAACTCAATTAAAACTTGTATAAATTAGCTTAATAAAACCAACAAAACAAAGGCAAGTAAACGTAGGCAAGAAAAAGGTAAAGAATTCTCAAAAGAAAGAAAAGGCCAGAAAAAGAAAACACTGGTATACCGAGAGGTAGGCATAGTGTATGGGATAGTATATAAAAAAAACTCACAAAGGTTATATTTTGTATTTTGTCGATTACACATTTTCAAGACAGGATTCTGTGCGCATGAATTTAAGCGTAGAGACTCTGTATTACACAAGGCTTTGGTGGTTACCAAGCATTACAAACGTTTTACCTACCTATTATTTCAATTTGTGTTATAAACACCGGTCACGTTATATTGACCGATTAAAATTAGTTACAAACGACTCTGGCGATTGACCGAGTTATTATTATTAGGTCATGTTTTACTTTGTTGTCAACCAAGTAGGCTACCAATTCAGGTTTGATTAAACCTCGTTAAATTATTTCGTTATATTCTTATTCACGTGTTATTTTCATTCAAAATTCAAAATTTAGCTTACACATATTTTTCAAGTGGCTGTGATGAGCACTAGTTAAAGGTAAGTTAAACGTTGTTAGCATTGTGGTAATTATTATTCTGAGCCAATAAACTCGAACCGACAATTAATTAACAAACACTTTAAAATCCTGGACTATCTCATTGTGAAACGACTATTACGTATTGTTTCCTTAAGCCCCGATTTTAAAATCTAATTTTGTCTCTCTAACCGAATATTATGTCATAAAACAAACAATGGTTTGATCTGTTTGACAGTTTCTACCTAGGAAAATTTAGGGTAGTAGTCCTACACTTCAATCATGAAGCGCGATCTTCTCTTTTCCTAGATATTACCAGGTAGCTTACTATTTATCTATTAAGAGTTGTATTTCTTCATTTACAGAGGTAGCCAACACTAGCCTCGGAGTGAACCCTAACTGGGAGTTGTTGACACCTCAAGGCTTCCGTTTCTATCTTCCCGGCAACACCGGACCCGCCTGGCAAGATGTCCACTCATCTGCCAATGTAGCTAGTCATGTTAGTGTATGTTTATGTTCACAATACTTTACTAGCTTATTTACCAACGTTAGTTTTGAATGAAGAAACTACATCATGTTAAAATCAATCCTTTTGAGTCAAGTAATATTGGTACTATCCAATAGTATCCTAATTATTTTATCTGTCCTGTTAATTCACTACCACTAATTTGTGTGTGTAAGAATGCAAAATAGCAGATTTAAGTGTTTTGGTTCTGACCTAGCCTAAACCAACCCAACCTGAAATAACCTAATTCTAAACAGGATTTGCTTTTAAGTATAATATTTTATTTAAAAAATATATTGTTGTAAGTGCATCAACATTTTCTGTTAATGCACTATTACTATATTTTTTTAGGTCTAAAAGTGATACTTAACGCCAGACAATCAAATAAAGGATTTATCATAAATCAATATACTTTGTTGTCTCATCACTCACAGAAAAGTTGTCATGCTCACGTTTTAGGCTTTTTATACTTAAGTCCATAAGTAGGTTTTTATAGGCTAATGGGAAAAATATTCATTTTTAAAATGATCATTTTAAACATGAACAAAATGATATCAAAGAGTTGTATTTCGTCAAAATCAATCAATACTGATTTGAAATTTATCTTAAATCTAGTGTCTCCACGCTGGAGAGGGATGGAACTTGTAAGATAACATAGGCCTATACATACCCAGTAAATCGTGAAATATTATAGTAAATAGTGAAGTATTGTCAAGAAAAATCTTAATGTGTTGTAGAGAGACATATAATGCTTACTTGATCTATTTGTGGTTTTTACAGGCCCATGTTGTAGAAAATTCTTCATTAGTTTGCACAGTTCAAGAATGTCCAATCCTGCTAAGACCAGGTGAGTAGGCAATGTTTAAGCCCAATTTTGGTATTTCTGTTGATAAAATATTTTAAGGTAAGCTTATATAGTGTAATCTAGGCAAGCCTCACAGTTACCCTTAACATCCTTATACTTTACATAATTTAGACACACAACTCATGCAAAAAAGTTGAAGCTCTTTATACAAAAATCTATTTTAACTATGCAACATTTAGACAGTAAATTGGAGATAATTGTAGAACCCAGGCAAATTAGTCTGGACTTGATTTTCTACTCTCCCTTTTAAACTGTTCTCAACCCCCACATCTGATTTCTCCATACCTTTACTATGAAGATCAGTTAGGCTTCCCACTCTTTAAAGCTTTAGCCAGTTTTAAAGTGAAAATTAACGTAGTTGAATCCGCTGACAACCCCCCCCTGCAGGGACGCTGGACCAGGAGACTGATTCGGCATGTCCAACCATGGGTTGACCGTCAGTATGGTGATGTGGACTATTACCTTACCCAGTTTCTGACAGGTCACGGTTAACATGTAGGGCAGTTGTCGGTGGACTTGGTAATTCCGATGATGACGGAGGGTGAGGAAAATTGAACCTGTATGTTACATTTTGTCCAGGATATTCTCCTCACAAAGAAGCTAGAGCTTGACCGAGATGCAGTCTAGGTCATAATGAAATTGAATGCTAGAAACGGCGCGAGACCTGAGAGCTTAGGTCACACGTTGACCTGACCTGAAGTAATGTGACAAACAATCCCAGGTCTGTGTCCAACAGAGTAGGGGGTTTTTTTTAGTGAGTAGTCTGACAAGCTCAGAAGTCTCACACTACAGGCTGGCTACCAGTGTGCGTAAAAGCATTTTTGCCTCCTCTCCCTTAAAAAAAAAAAAAAAATGATGTATTAGAGAAACGCTGTCTAATAAAGATATTTTTATATATCTAATTTATTATTTTATAAAAAACCCAATGATCAAGGAAAGCTTAGTCCATTTTTAACAGTCAAAAAGCTTCTCACTTTTTCTAGGATCAAACCGGTGACCTTTTGATTACGAGGCGAGCACTATAACCACTTAGCCACCCTGTTTTTAAAAATTCAATCGTTCAACTTACTTCAAGGCTCTCTTATCCTCATTAAGTTATAAACTAAATTATCTATACATACTACGTGGAAGTGTAGTGTCAATGGTTCCTCAGTTGTTACCTAAGTTGGGGAGTGATAATGGTAGAGCGTGGAACTTAGGTCACTGAGGTCCTGGGTTCCATCCAGCCAATCCCCAACTTTTGGCGGAACACTCTAGGTCCAGCCTGAAGTAATGTGTGAAACTGTTCCGGCCTGTAGGCTAGTGTCCTAAGATATGAAGGGAGGACTTTAAACAAATCTGTAGTTGCCAAACTGTGTTATCACAAATCTTTGGCTCCGATAACACTGCAACCCTCCATGCTGGAGCCTAGTGTAAATGTGTGTGGAGGATTTATCTATGTTTATATTTTTAGGAGTGTTTGAGCTATTCTCGGGGGCAGACGTGTACGGACAGCTGACTGTCGTCACGTTGGCGCAGACCAAGTTTGCGGCCGGAGACTTGGAGGCTGAACAGCTTACCAAGCAGTTTGTTCTGGCTGCCCAGGACATCTGTTCCAAGCTCAAGATGGCCGGCTACTGGGCTGACTTCATCAATCCGTTCTCAGGTGCGTGGATATTAGTGTTTGCTGAGTTATAATTTTTGTTGGCCTACACCACTTTAAGCTAAACAATATCATACTACTATCAAGAATGGAAATAAATACTGTGATAATTATGTTTGGAGGTTGGTTGTAGGCTTGGAGCTTCGGATGGTTGCACAATGCACAATACAGATCCATCCAACCCTGTTTAGAGTTTCAAGTTTGTAATGTGTTCGATACTTCTGGTATATTAATTTAAGCATAATCTTTTTAATCCATAATTCTTTAATATGCAGGGTCCTTACAGTGACAAATTTGAAATTATCAATGCAAAGAAAGTTGTTTCTTACTAATATTTTTTGAAGAAAGCCTAAAGAAACAAAATTTTCAGGTTTGCCGTATCTTACCCCGTCAGGATCCTCTAGTAAACTTTTTGAGACGGACGAACGTTTCCGTTGTCTAGGGTTCCGCATCTTCCAACGAAACCAATGCAAAGTCATCGACAAGTCCAACCGACAGTTTGTGGGTAAGATATATTTTATTTTGTTAAATCAGGCATGTGAACACGTTTTTTGACCTGAACTATTGTATACCAAGTAGTGAAGGGCAATAATATGAATGTTGGCGTGACTGCCAGTCAAATTAAACAAGTGGAAAATATGTCACCAAGATTAAATTTTATTTTATTTTAAGACAAGCCTTCATTAAGAAGAGTTCTATTCAGAAATGATCCTAGTGCTTAGGGTAATAGTTATTTAAGAGTTAAAATGGTTACTTATTTAATTTTTAGTGTCATACTCGTAAGGAATACAAATCCGTAATAGTTTAAGCAATTGTGAAACATTAAAAAATAGTCAAGAATCTGACTTTGAAAAACCCCTGGAGCAGCATTTTCATTTTACAAGTTAATTTACTCAAAAACATATAATAAAACTTCAATAAAATACAAAACACAACAACCTTTTTTACTTGAAGATGTGTATTATTAAGTGAAAAGATCAGATTATATATAATTTTGTATAAAAAAAAATAGTATTTAATTTAAATCAATATTTTTCATGTCATGGGTCAAGATTTATCAGTTTAATCCTAAATACAAAATTGAAACAAATATAAGTGCTCTTTCAGTTGAACATTTTTTATCTTAATAGTTTGAACACGTATGAACCAAATATTGATGTCGATTGCACACAACAATTTCGTTGTGCCAGTACCGTACCAATGTAATTTTGCATCATTGATACAATTAATCAGTATTATCATGATTTTTTGCAGGCAATTTGTTCACATCGGCGCCTCCTAGCACTACATTGCTGCGAGACATTCTCCAACAATATGAAGATTGACGATGATAAGTTGTAGCGTGATTTTTCCTCATTCACTAATACATTTTTGTTGGTGTTTGATTATTGTTTATGTAAAATTATGTAATAAAATAAAATTTATATTTATTTTACTGTAGATTAGTTTATTATTTACCATGATTTTGTATAGTCCCAGATTGAAGATAATAATCATATAGCAGAATTTGTTATTAAATAGTAGCTTTACCTGTACTTTACAATAGGGAGAGATCAGAAAGGGGTAAAGTTACACAATAGTTATTTGTGTATCTAGTGAGCAAAGGCTTTTTGCACTTGTGTTGCACATTATATTTTTCCTACAGTCACTATAAAGCATATAAATAATTAGTCTTTCAAACACTATAAAACACTTTTTTAGGTTAGGTTAAACCCAGCCATGAACGGAATTGGAAATACTGCACCAGCTGATTGTAGTCGTGTAGTATCTTTAAGTGTTACTTATTTTCAAGAGTACAGGTATAAACAGTAATAATTAGTATAAACACATAATAAACAAGTAGATTGTTCTTCAAAATATGCCAATAAAACATTTGCTGACAGTTTTGTAACTTTCTTGCTTATGCGCCAAGAGGGAAACAGTTTGTATGCTCGTTCATACTTCTTTCTTGATTTTTCAGGTAACAGGTTTTATGAAATATGTTTTCAGTTTCTCCTATTTCTGGTCTACCATTATATTAACAATCATTTGCACCATGTTCATTATTTTTAAACATGTTAGGCCCACTTACATTTTATCTTTCAAATACTACACTTCAGGTTATGTTAAAACCAAGCGTTGAACGAAAATATAATTTAAACTATAAACACAAAATGACAGGTTAAATTGTAGTTATAATAGTCAATCAGCAGATCATAGTATTATCATCTTAAGTGTTGCCAACCTATTTCCAAGTGTACACGGATTGGATTAATTGCATAATACAACCACCCTGTTTTGTATTGTTTGGTTGGAATCGTGATGTGCGCCAAAGTATAGACCGTACGAAAAAGTATAAACCGTGCGACAAAGTAAGTAAATGCAGCAATTAGCAGCTTTCTGTACTATAGGGTGTGCCAAAATAACTTGACGGTTTTTAATACAGTACTAAATAACTCAAGAACAAAATAACATTTTATGTATTAAATAATGTTATATTGTACACACTACTATGCCATTTTCATTTATGAAAAATTATACCTCTTAGGTGATGACCTTCTCCTAAACGCAGGCTTCCCATTTATTTTTTCATATTCGCAGTCACCTTCGCCTGATGAATAAAAGCAATCTCTTCCCGGACACACTGCTTGAGTTCAGGGATGGTTCGAAATTTTGAAACAAACAACTAACACTTTGCTTTTTAAGTATCCGCATAGCCAAAATCACACGAAATAAATCTGGGGAACGAGCTGACCACAGCACATCACCAAACCTAAAGACCACTTTACCGGTTAAGAGTTCACGCAAAACTTTCATTGAATAATTGTCTGTATGACAAGTTGCGCTGTCCTGTTGAAACCATGTTTGGTCATGGTCATGTCTATCCCTCCTAACATTCTTAGTTGTGGAACCAAAAAGCCCCTCAATATTTCCACATAGCGTTCCGAGTTCACAGTGACGGTGTTTCCCCTTTCGTCTTCAAAAACATATGATCCGATGACTCCAAACCGTGCCACATCACACTAGACAGTAACTTTCTTCCGAAGAAGTAATGTTTGACAAAAATAACCTAAAAATGGCATAACATAAGCAATTGTTCACTACAACAATGAGGTCTCTAGCTTGTATAACAGCTGACTTATGACAAAACAGAAACCGTCAGGTTTTTTTGGCGCACCCTTTATAAACAGTGAAAGGAAGCCAACTTTGTCGGGTGACTGTAGGAAAATAACTATTGATTTATGATTAACCACTTCCACACCGGTAAGTATGTGTATGCAATTCTTTAATATTACAATGGGATGTGGGAATCTATAATTGCTATTGTGGTGGTAAAGAGCAGAGCATCAAAATATAAATACCAAAGTTGAAAATTGCTTTTTAGCATAATGAGGCAGGACTTAGATTACTTGGATGATGCAAAGCTCTACGAGTAGCAGTGGCGGCGATTGGGCTTGAGAGGTGGGGGGGCGAAATCTAGATTTATTGTTGATATAATTCTATTTTATAATTTTGATAAATATTCCTTATGAAAGTGGGGGGGCAACTGCCCCCCCTGGCCCCCCCTAAACGCCGCCTCTGACGAGTAGACTTAGTTTCAACCCACATAAAATGTAGGGAATAAGAGGTTCTAATAGTTCTAAGTAGTAACCGTTAAAAGAGTCAAGTAATAAAAAATTTAAATTGAATGGATGGATAGCATTATTTTATTCATTGTGGCCCTTGGCTGGAATATATTATTGATCAAATAAAAGGATTACCTTAACCAACCACAGTTGCTGGTATGACAACTAGTTTCTTCTTAGAACCTCCTCAGGCCACTGTATGCAACCACCTCATCAATGTATTAATACATTGTGGTATTTTAAAATATTCTTTAAAACACTTTCAAAATCACAATAGTCAAAAATGGTCGTGTTGATCAAATGATTAAAATGGAATGAAAAGTGATCAAACTGGTTAAAACTGTAAAGGCTGGCCAGCACTGTCTTATCACTGTCACTGACTAAATAAAACAAAACTGACTGAATCATGAGGTGTCTTCTTCTCTCCAGTGCCACCTGTATTTCAGTTTGTTTCGTTATTCATTTCTTATTTTATACTTCTTTGATTTGTATCTTGTCCATATATGTATCAAATATAATATTTGACTGGAAAGAAGTCTGATCATTTAACATTTTAAATGGGTCAAGTTTTTTTAGCTTTGTAGATGGTGAATTCTTCTTTAACATCAAACTTAAAACTGTTGGTACAGTAGACCCCCTCTTAACCGACCCTAATGGGACCGGACCTAGGTCGGATGATTCAAAAGGTCGGATAAAACGGGCAATCCCTAAAATCATAACATAATAAAGTGCTATTCATTTGGAATTATACAATCATTATTTTGAAGTCATACTTGCATTATTTATAAAATAAACTACTCTTATCTCCTTTTTCATATTGATAGAAATGTCACAAATAAACACAAAACACGGTTAAGTCAAATAGGCCTACTTTCAGTGAATATATTATAATACTAGGCAAGAGTCAATAAAATTCCTATTTTAATAACTTTACTACTGTAATGTATTAATTAATGCTTTCCAAATACATCGTAATACAGTAAAGAACCTTTTGTCGTCATTAAAGATACAAGCGACCATTTTGTTACAAGACAGGACGTTTATTTATAGCCTCTCACTGGAGGCTCGAGGCACAAAAACTATCTTGACCTTGGAGTTGTTAACACCCCTTCCCTGCCCTCCCTACAAGTTGCGTTGTTTGTTTACTCCAGGGATAAGATAATCAGTTCTCAAAATCGTAACGCACTTTATGATGTTATAAATTTGCCGCACAGATAACAAATCAGATCAGATGTGCTCGAGCTACGAACGATGATGACAAACTGACAATAGGCTATGCTATATTTTTTGTGATCATCACAAAATAACTTATTGTTAGTCATATCCTGTGGAGATAAGCGTATGGTTCAGTTCTCATCGCCCAGCGTAGGAGCGGAAATGTCGAGCGAGATTCCTAGAAAGCGGCGGTTAAACCGAGCTGCTTTCAAAGCAAGGTCGGTTAAAACAAACTGTATTATTTTACGATCAAAGGCGGATAATCCGATTATCGGTTAATACGAGGTCGGTTAAGAGGGGGTCTACTGTAATATTTAAACTATTTCCATGTTCTTATCAATAGATGTGTAGTTGTGCTTATCCGATAAATGTTTGAAGTTCTAAGGAAGGAAACTAGTTGTCATACCAGCAACTGTGGTTGGATAAGGTAATCCTTTTATTTTATCAAGGATAGCATTACTTATTGATACAATAAACAGAAAACTTTTAAAATAGTAAGGGAATAATGAAGACACACTTTATTTACAATTTTATATTCCAAAATAACCAAGTACACCTTTCTTATAACTTTCACTACGTCACATTTGCTTTCAATTCTGCATTAACTCCAAAAATCAAACCTCTTATTCTGCTCATCCATTTTGAAGTTTGAATGCACTAAAGAACTTCAAAACTCAGCGCAGACATCAAGATTTACCCGCCGTTTTTGCGGTTTCTGGTAAATCCATCATAATCTAAGAAGTATGTTTTTGGAATTTGTTCAGAATCCAACTCAATCATTAACCTATCATGATCATTCGTCAAGGTTTACTAAAATAAGTTTAAAATAAGCTTAAAATTAAAATATTTGTTAGCTTTAGAATAAAATGTAATAAACAGGGACATAAACATCACCACCTCCACATCAAGTAAAATATCTTTATGGATTTAAGCCAAAAACATTATCTTTTCAAAGTTACTTCAAAATTTTCCTACCAAGTAATAAATATATAACACAGTTGTGTTTAATACTGGTTTTAAGATTAACCTTTACAGAACATGGATCATATTGAATTCCAAAATTAATTTACGTTTTTCGATTGCTGAGTTAATTTTTCATTAATGCTCGTTCGTTAATGCTCGAGTAATTAATTACAATATCATCTATTTTCCAAAATCCCAATAATTTAAGTGTAAATATAATTTACTAATTAAAACTGTTGGCAACTAAGGCTAATCTGATGTTTTTATCTGGACTGTTTTAAGATCCCAGTTTGATTTGGTTCTCAATATCCTTGGTGATTACTTCTGGGTTGGTGCTGGCGTCGTAACGTATAACCGGCCGGCCGGACCGGTCGATGAGGAATTTCTCCCAATTCCAGCGAACGTCCCAGTTCTTGAATGGTTCGTAAAATAGGTTGGCTTTGCTGGCAAACCCATCTCTGGTGGTGGGGCAGTGGAGCTAGAGAAAAGTTCACATATCAAATAATGTGGTATATGATGATATGATTTAGCGAACAAAAGTATGTAGAAAAAAATATTCAAATCTCTGGGACGGGAAACTAAAAGTTTTAACGTTTCCTTGAGATTATATTTTTTGGCTATTCGCTGAAGAGAAGTTTGTAAAACAGATCTAATCATTTGCTGAAAATATCAAGAAAATTTTGTCTTGAACTACCATAGGCCTTGTAATTTTCTTATAAGAGTATTTTATTGGCCATTCTCACAGAATATTTTTTTTGACTTTATGACTATATGGTAAATTTATTTATATTTTACGGAACACTCAAGGTATGAAATAACATGCTTCCTAAATATTATAAAATTTTATGGTTAAAAATGTTTAATTGAACACAATTAATTGAAGATATAAGATTACTACTTAACTTAAATGACCAAGACAAGGGTGAATTACCTTGAGGTAAGTGAAGAGTGGGTGTTCATTCTCCCCGTTTACATCAATTTTGGCAAACATTTGGAAATTTGGTTGAAAGTTGTTGCCGGGTCGAACGTGGTTGATTCCGTTCATGATTTCAGTTGCGTTTGCTCCCGGCTCTTGCTGTAAAAATACAATAACATTTTAGTATTAAAAAAAGAGCAGTAAAATGATAAAGTATACTGTATCTTTTAAGTAAACATTTTAAGTAGTATCGAAAGCATACTGAAGGAAATATTTTATTTTACTTAGAAATGAGTTTGGGATTGTATTTAACATTAGGTAAACATGGATAAGTTGTTTAGAAATTTAACTTAAGCTCGGTCATGTTTAATAAACATGGAATATAATTAAATTGTTATGGAATTTCCTTATATAATTTTTTTTAGTTTACTCAAAATCTGATCTATAAGACGTTTATGATTTATATATAAGCAGAGTGGCAATACTGGCATATCTAGGGGGGGGGGGGGAGGGGGGTGGATTGTCCCAAATGCCAGCCCGTGGAACACCAGCTGTGGGATATCAAATAACATTCGCCCTGGTTGCCAAGAGAGTTTTGCTACACCATTGTCTATAATAAATTGATTAGATCAGATTCTTGTCCACTTAACAATTACTTCTTTTACTTTTGTTAACCAAGGCTCATTCACAGTATTTATCGTTCAGCAGACGACACTCACCAATCCGAACTGGTTGCAGGGGAATCCCAGGACGACGAGGTCATTTTGAAACTTGGATTGTAGTGCATTCATACCCAAGTAATGGTGAGTGAAGGCTCAGTAGGTCGCCACGTTGGCGATGAGCACAACCTGTTGACAAAAGCAAATAATATTACTATTAATAAACTAGCATAACTTTAAACTAGCAGTGGATTTGGATTCTGAAGTAGTCAACGTTTCCCTCATCAATTAAAACGCAAAAATCTAGAACTAAATTCTTCAAAAACGTTTAGTGGACATAATTAAAGCAAGGGTAAGCAAAATGTAGCGAAATGCCTGATTTAGTGTTCAACGCATAAAGAAATCACCAATCCTGAACCGAGATTTCTACTATGGACAAATGCACACTTAATGAGTTTCTCACCAAACCCGAAACTAAACCAAATCAGGGTTAAAACTGTCAATCTATAGTGCTTTCAGCTGGCCGGATTTACAATTTAGAGGAAACAATGTAAAATATTGTCTTTTTATGGTACTTTACACAATTAGGGAACTTACAGACGTATATGTATCAGTATTTCTGTGTATAGCTATCTGGAAGTGGATAGCGAATTGGTTCAAAGTTTGGGGATTCAAACTGAAAATCTAGCTACAGTGTTTTCTCCTGGTGGGATGAACCATTTTAGAAGGTATAATCCAAAAGATTGCTTTGCTCTGGTAATTTCAACAATTTAGGAAACATAGAGATGAATATCCATCTATGTTATATGAATAGTGGATCTTCAAAGTGTTACAATCAAGTTTGTACCTTTCCCCGGTACTTGGACAGTGGTATATCCCGGGTGCCCCAGAACTCCTTGGCGCTGTGTTCATAGATGGTGTCGTTGTATCCATGGCGCAGACATGGCCGACTCGGGATCCTCTGTACTTTAGATCCAGATGCCGGCGCAAGTGCTGCCAACACCGACAACACGAGACCTAGCAGAGGTCCCATTGTGCGGCTGTAAATTTAAGAAAATTTGATAACAATTATTGTTGTGCAACATTTTTTACAATTTTAGAAAAATAAATGTTTTTTTATTCCCTTTCAAAATTTAAAAGTACCAATTTTAGACGAAACCAAACACAATAAAATAAAATAACTAGTCTTGATACATATTTAATGTCACAAAAACCCTATTGTTGCTGTTGGAACTGGTTTTGGAACCATAGTTCTACATCTTCTGTAACGTTATGTAGTCGTTGTATAAAATTAACTAAATGTATAGGCCTACTCTTGCACATTTCAATAGAAATCAGGAAGATGTTGAATCAAAGGTTTTATCCAATCCAAAAACACTTGTCTTCACATAAAGGCATGTATAGTCTTGAAATCAGACTAATCAGAGAGATTGACTGAAAGTCATTAATTCTACCGCTATAACATGTTTTAATGAATGTACTTACCTGTTTTTAAAGAATATTACATTGAATTTGGTTAGAACACTGTTTATTTTAAAGTATACAAACACCAAACAAAAACAGCTGAAATTGTTTGGTTAACCGGTAGTAGTAGTTGCTTCCAGTTTAAAAACAAAGGAATTTATAAACTTTCATTTTAAATTTTTTTGCACCAATACAACCGTAGAAAAAATAATTTTGAGCCAAAGGAAAATACAAGAATGTACAATAACCAACTAAAATTTACAACACTACTACCCATAATAACACAGTACCAGTTACAAAGTTCCAGAGTTTATAATAACAAAGAAACAAATATGTGTTTCAATTTGCCAATTCTAAGTTCAGATAAGTTGAAAAAATAATTATGTTTTATTAATGATACATCTCGTTTTAATCTTACTTCCCTTAAATTTGAAATCATTAAGCAGCCTAAATATTTCAATCTAAATATTTAAATTATATTCACCAACAATTAAATTAGGTCAATCCTCTTTTGTACTAATTAGAAATGTTTGCAAAGCTAAATCAACCACAATTTAAAATTCAAATATTAATGGAAAGGCTATGATAGTGTTTATCTAAAGTCAAGGGTCAGTTTTGTGTTTGTGATGGTTAGAGCTAGAAAACAGTTAGATAACTTGGATAGAGACTCAACCTACATCTCTCAAGGCCAACTAGTTTTCATTGTTGTCCTGCAGCCATTTACTATAGAGGCAAAGAAAGAAATCAGCTGATACAGGAAATATCAGCTGACTGCTTTTTATTGGCTTGATTTTATTATGGTGCCGGTGCGTAAAAATATTATTATTTTAGAATGTTATATTATTGTTGTTATTAAACAATTATGTTGTGTGGTTTTTGCCGGTGTATTTCACCAAGTACCATGTACATCGCAAATAATTAAACATATACATTTAAACATACCAATTTATCCAATGATTATAAATGAGAAATTAATAGCAAAATTGATTTTCTCTAATTCATCTATAGGCGTAACCTTGTTATACAAGGATCATTAACAAACAATGGAATGAACAACAAACTACAGACATAATTAATCAAAAATTGATCATTGTTCACATTCAGTGACTCAGTAGTGATATACAAGCGAGCTTAAAGCAGAGTTTCATTAAAAAACAACAGGGAAAATAATTTATTAGTAAAAATAAATACACCTGCCTTATAAGGTTCCCACTGACATTGAAAATATACACTTAAAATATTGAATAATTATAACATCTATTTAAGACCATAAAATCTGTTTGCCTTAAAAAGGTTTTTTCATTATAGTTAATGAACCTGTTTCATGTGTAATTGTCAAAAAGCTATACTATAAGCTACGCTATGCAATCAAAGTAACTACGGTAAAGCACAAAGGATAAGATTGAAGGTTGTGTTTGTATAGTTGTTTGTTTCACAACCAACAGCAGCGTATCCTGAATCTATTCTTTGGCCTTGGGAGCTGATGGCTAGAGGAGGATGACGGACTTGACTTGGCTCTTGTCCAACAATTTCACAATGTACAATACTTCCCAGTTCCCATGGAATAACAATGGTATATCATATTATTGAAACTATATCTTGCCTATACAGTATGTTTTTGCTGATTTTCTTTTTCTTCCATTGAAAAAAATCTATAATTTTCTTAAGTCGCCTTTTTGTATCTTTAGTAATAATTTGGTAAATATGAGTCTTGCACTCAGCAATTTTCTAGTAATTAACAAGAAGTAAATAATGGTAAACTAAACCATTATTATTGTTAACAAGAAGATTTAAAGTTATGGATTTAGTATAGTAAGAAATCCTAGCTGTATAATATGATTAAACAATCCAAATAGACTAAAAAGCTGAACAGTTAAAATTAGGGCATAGCTAAATATAGAACTTTTGTTTTAAAACATTAAAAACAGCGACTTAAACACTGAATATGCATTCAGGTTGAAAGTAGATAAGATTAAGTTGACTTTCCTTTGTCTAATTTAGCCCAACTTGCAAAGTACATTTCCGTTAGTATAGCTTTTAATCTGAACTTATTTCGTGTTCAATTTGGATGCGCAAAAGTCATAAATAATATTTATATATTAATTGTTAAACTAAATAAGGAGCATACAAATAGTAAACATTTGCAATAGTTAAGTCCAACCTACATTCTTGAATTTTGTTCAAGCATTTTAGGTGTTCTCTTTTATAAGTTGTTTTACTGCGCAATATACTTTTGTTCATAAAACGAAATGTCATTCTATGCAACTCAACAGTAAAACAATTAAATTAACCAACTGAAAATATAAGAAAAACGTTTAAGTTAGGTTGATAATCATGTAGAAACAAGCTTATCTTTTACAATAACAATGCAAGCAGGACTTACTTTAATCAGCTGTTCCTTCGTGAACCTCCTGACAACTTCTGCCTTCTGCCTTCTGTTGATCCCGTTACCAACACAAGATATCCCTGTAAAATTACCCCTTTTATCCCATGATTTACCTTGATATCCCACTTTGTCCAACATTATCCACATATCACCTTAATATATATGTTATATATTATTATAAATCACATTTTATAATATCTGAAAGAAATCTGCATTTGTAGAAGTCTAAGATTCCATCTTATGGTGTAATTCAAGATAGTAATTATCTATAAAAACATTTTTTTCTTCATAAAATTTTAAATCTATAGTATATATTTTTTAGCGTTTTGTTTTGTGTCCATGCATAATTTAAATTGTATATACTAGGGTAGACATAAAAATAAATTTTTTTTTAGTTTTTTATGATATATAAGGTCAGTCCTGTGAAATTTTAAACGCGAATCCGCACATTATAGTATTTGATTTAAATTGTCAAAACGAGTTAATTTACTTCGTAACCAGCTCAGTTATTTTATCCCGAATTTTCCCTAAAACACCGAAAATATCCCTAATTAGGGAAAAAATCCCACCATATGAAACACTGGGGCTGTGATGTAACAGGTGGAGGCGACCAATCAAAAGTGAGAGAACGTTGAAATGAAAGTTGGATGGACAAAGGTTACTGACTTGACTTGACCATCTCTCTCACTCTTATCTATGGACTTTGTCAATCCCCTGTATTTATAACTAAATCTGTGTCAAATCTGGTTAGGCTTAAATGCTGCCATTGATTATTTTTATAGCAACTGAACTAATTGATTTGTTGAATGGTTATTAACAGTAACACACAATACTTTATCTATCTATATATTAATAGGCAAGCATGTCTTTAAAACCTTTTTTCTCAGCTCGTGTGCATCGCAGGGGAAATCTACGCATACTGTTAGAAAGATATTTGCCTGTAGATGTGCAGAATCCCTTTATAAATTAAAATAGGCTAAAAAATAAGCACAAAAAACGAATTTGAAAACTTCAAAAAATTAACATGGCCCAACTGGGTTGCCATGATGGTGACGAAATAACAACAAAATGTAAACAGAAAATCAAAACAAATGGAAGAAATCCCAATCACATGTTTTATTTACAGTGTGGGGAGAAAATAGAGAAGTCTGTACATTAATTATTTTTGGTCAAGTTTCGACCACAGGACGACCACTAGTTATTATTATTGTAAAAAATTTTAATTTTGATTTTTCCTCTGAAAGTCTGAAGGTTTTCAGTACGAGGCAAGCATATTACCATTGAGGCTGTATACCACAAGTCAAGTAGACTTCTTGTAACACTTATTTTACCAGAATAGTTAAATGATTGAAAATACAAGTTTTTCTATGCTGATTGACTCCTGAAAATCCTGAAAGGCTGTTGTGGGGCAACTCTAGGTTCAGTTTAGGATGCTAACATAATATTTAATATCCTAAATTGTGAAAAAACCTATTTTATCGCTTTGCTCTGATGGTTGAAGTTATTTAACCCAAACTTCCTAATTCAATTTCTTGTTATTAATTGTATTTAAGAATGAACCCTAGATTAATTTGCAATTTAATTTAATACACGGTAAAAGTTGTATAAATCCTTAGAATCACAGCCACAGGGCAGGTAATAAAGAGGGTTTTTTAGTGATAGCTTAAAATACACAAATTTACCAAATTTGATCAAACCCAAAATTAATTTGAACACTGAAAAAATTGAAACATATTTTATGCATATGCATGGGTTTGAATAGTTTTTTGGCTTCTGAGAACATTTAAAAGAAAATATTTAATCAACTCCAGGTCTAGTAGCCAATGCCACCTATGGTAATTAATAGCTTAGTCATTTAGGGGAATCCAATCCACTAAAAGATAACACAAATCCATTTGTTGATATTTGAAAGCAAGTTTCCCAGAACTATTAATGTTATCTGCTGCTGACTTTTAAATGACTTTGGTTGGAAACTAAGGAAAACAAGAAAATTGATCTACCTCTTATTAACTCATGGGTTATTTAGGATTCTGACACCAAATACATGGAACTTTTGATTGAGGAATGATGTAAATAAACTGTTTCAATAAACATACATTTATTTCAAAACATCCACTGCACAATATTACACAAAATAACAACAAAATTAATAACAAAATACAAACATTCTTCATGGGCATAAAAGTTGAAAATACTTTGGTAATGAAAATAATTTTCATGCTTGTAACACGATTCATCTAATATTGTCTGCACTTGTAATTTATGTCTATAAAATGAACAGAAAATTGTGAAATATATAGTTGGAATCAGTATTTATATTTTATGATAAACTATTATATTGCATTGAATATTAAGTATTTATCGACTACAGATACACTTTGTGCACTGGAGTAAAAAGAAAATAATTATTCAAATTGTATGATCTTATGGAATATTCACATTTCAAATGACTTTTGTAGGATTGTAAAATACAAAAGACCAGCATTTTTTAAAATTTCCTTCTTAAATTAATTTCTTAGGCTCCACTTAAAATACGGTATCTATAGTCAATTTTACCATCCCATGAATTCTATCGATATGTCAAATGTTGAACACTACAATTGTCTAAGCGGTCCCTCGATTGGTCCACAGGGCAGCCGAGTTCATGACGAGCAACAATAAAAATAATTTAAAGCAATCACAGAATACAGTATGAGATCTAAGAGTCAAAATTGTCTTTTAAAACAGTTTACTTAGGCTAAACATGTTTTATTTACAACTACGCATATTTTCAATGTAACACCTTATCTAAAACTACCAGTCTGTTTGTTTTGTTTAGTTAAATTGTTACAGTTACTCGTTACTATCTATCAGGCTGAAAACTACCAACACATACAACTACTGTAAGCGTAAAGGCAATAAAGGCTAAAGCTTTAATTTTTAAAAGAAGAAGCCTTTTAACTTTCGGCTCGAGATTACAGTTTGGTATGGCTTAGGCCTGAATATTTTACTGGTTAAAGATATTCATTACAGATAATATTGTGTTACTTAAAACTATATAGGAGACATACAGTGGGAAGATTTAGGTACCTTAATAAGTTAATTAGATTTACGTTGTTATAACCAATAGGATTTTATATGTAACAATTTGTCATGGTCTGAAGCTAACGGTTGATTTAACATATTGAAGCTATTATGTTATAAAGTAGGTGTATTTTAATAATATTTAATTAATATTTGGCTATAAAATATGTTTAGGTAGGGAAAAATAGAAATTACGGTACAATAATAATGATATGTAATACTTTTATCTTAGCTTGAAAATTAGATTTTTAAGTCTTAATGTTTCTATTCTAGGTCAGATTAGTTGATTTGTAATTAAAAAATCATCTTTATCGAATCCAAAAATATTGAAGCTTTTTAGGTACACAATAGACACATGATTATATAAAATATTCATATATTTTGCACGATTCACAAAAAAGATATCTTTGATGAAATACTTGATAGTTTTAGATTTTTATTTCCAATGAAAATACAGGGTGTTTGTGATCTCTCCCAAAAAACTTCACAGGATTGTTCCTTGGGTTAATTCAAGAATATTTTACATTATAAACATGGGTTGCCGGAGCCTCGTTTTCCGGCTGTCTGTCTGTATGTGATATTCACAAATGAATCCATAACTTTCGTAATCCTTAAGCAATTGACTTGAAACTTGGTACCTAAGTAGTGACAGGTAAGGCTACCCTTTGCACCAAGTATCAAGTTTATAAATTGTACCAATTCAAAATGGCGGCCATTTAAAATTTTAGAGTTCACATACACCCTGTATATCACAAAAAGTTTACAGATTAAACAATTTACACAGTGCAAATTGGAAAATCATTTCAACTAGACTTTTTTAAATAAAGATTTTATGGGTATTCTGATTAACACAAATCGTTACTTGATTCGTTTTAATATAAAAAGTACACTTATTACTACTATTAAATAATCTCCTTTGCTACTTTTGAAAGAAGAATAAGCATTATCAGTCAGGGTTGTTGCATTGGCTGGGGGAGGAAAAGATTGTTGACACAGATTAGTAAAAACTATTTTGCTAAAATGTTAAACAGGAGTAACCGTAAGAGTATCAATGTCTCCGATGCTTTTCACTCTGCGATGTCTTCGAACTGGCCTCCTTCTGACCGGTGGCGATCCTGAATAAAGACAAGTTGAATAATTAGAATTGTTTTTTTTTTTTTAGTATGCATGCAGTACATATGATCAGCTGATAGCAACAGTGGTAATGACATTAGTTCTCACTTCTACCTCTCCCATGACTTGCCTAGCCTACCAGCCATTGACAGCAGTACTCCTAGATTCTAGTGTAGATTTAAAATGCAACATTCTTTTTTGCTCAGTGAGAGTTCTGTACTCATTGTTCTGCGGCTTCTATTGTAAAATCTAAAGCCTGTAGAGACATGTTTTTGCTAGTGTTTGTTTGATGTCCAATGACAATTGAGTGTGATGATGTCAGCTAAATTTTTCTCACTTTTTTGAATTGTAAAATTCGCTCTTTTGATTCAGATACCTAAGAACAAGAAGTGATTTATAAATAAATCTATTTGTTGGTTTTTAATTATCAACAGGCCCACTTTTATAAACGGGCAGACTGGGCATATGCCCAGGGGCGCCGGCGGTTGGGGGGCGCCCTGAACCGCCGCCCGCACTAGGAAAAATAGGGTTTTATCAGCCAGGATTTCAAAAATAAAAATGGCGATTTCAACTTGTAGTTAAGTGATTTTCCCTTATTGCAAAAGTAAATAAATACAACAAAATTGAAAATACTTCAGGTTATACCTCGTGTAGTCAGGGAAAGGCAGACAGCAGTGTGAACCGGGCGCACTCACTATAATATGAGAGGCAGGGAGGCCTGCATGGTGGAAGGAAAATACATAGGTGTGCTATTCCCGTCATATGATGACGTCACTCAGATTGCAAACACCATTTTACCATTGAGAAAAATTATAAAAACAATAAAAATCAAAACAAAACAGATATATACTTATATGGCAATACATCAGCTGATTTTTTGTTTGCAATTTAGGCGACGTCAGCAAATTACGGTAATAGCATGTAGGCCAGCTGTAGTCTACAGGCCTACGGTTGACATGCACCTCCTATCCCTCCCAGTCCCACCCCCATCCCCACAAGTTACAACAACTACCGCGCAGCGCCAGTCCAGTACACAGTACTCCTCCCTCAGTAGTCACTAGGTTGTGTTCGTGTTGTGCCTGTTCCACAGTCGTCAAATCAGTCACAACACAACCTAAACTGTGACAGTCACTAGTCAGTGTTGACACTCACACTGCAGTAAGTGAACCAGTAATAAATAAATAGAGAAGTGTTGATACAAGTAAGTAGGCTTGTAAAAAAGCATAAAAAACCTAGTGGAGCCGAGAGCCGCAAGCGGTTGGCTCAAAGAAAACAAACTTGAGAAGCAGTTTTAAAGAAAGTGAAATGTATTAACCAGTATTTCCACTGATACAGAATTGAAAACTCCCTCCCGAAACAAAACTGGTAAAAAAACACACTAATGTATAAATATATATATATATAGGCCTATGCATAAGCCTATAGTAGAACCATGGAAAAAACATACTCCCTTAGTAGAATCTCGTTCAATACGTGTATAATGCAATGAACTGCACACTGTACTGTACTGAACAGTAATCAAATCACTGCGTAGTGCATTAAGCTATCGGCGCAGGGCAAGAGGCATTCGCATCGCATAGCAACTACTGTCAAGTTCATTGCACTCACCCCAACCCCCAACCCACCTGCTGTGAATTTCGGCAAACTAATGAGTCAACCCCCCTTCCCTCTTCCCCTCCCTACACTGCTGTGGTCAAAACCTTTATAGTTATACAGTATATATATATAAGGGGGGCACTGCTTTTGGGTTTGCCCAGGGCGCCACTGACCCTTAACGCGGCCCTGATTATCAAGGTACAGACTTAAAAAAGTTGTACAGTCTTGTACAAATTTTACATTAAAATTGTGAATATATCAAATAGTGTTGGAAAACGTATATTAACACAAGGACTATCCAGGAGTCAGGAGCTTTTCCGTCTGACACTGCTAGGCAAGTGCCAATTACACACTTGTAAAGAACACTTGTAAAGAATTTACCAAGTGACAACTACAGTCACTGAGGCAACAAGCATATGACAGTTCTTAAAAGAGTGCAATGGCACGCCTGAGTAATGTTCCTCACTTGAGAAATATGTGTGTATAAGTTTGAGGAAGAGTGGATATAAAAATTACGAAAGCGTACCTGGCCGACAGATGACCATGGAGCAAGTCTCCGAGGGGGGAGAGGGGGGAGGAGCAAGATGGAAGTCGTCTCTCACTCTCTCTCGGTCTTCTGAGCGAGACTTCAGTCCGAACGCTCGACTGAGAGTACCCTGAAGTTGAATGAATGATGAATCAGTTAATCAATTGATCAAACAAACAATCTATTAGTCAAACAAAACATCAATCAACTACTTCTATGAGACAGTGACTTACTTTGTGTTGTTATTTTGATCTAAACATGAATACAAGTTGTATTTATAAGAAATAAGAAATAAGATATTTATTTTCCCATTTTTTTACATTAAATTGTTTACAACATAACTGTTACTCTACTAGCCATGGCATGACCTTTAGTATACTAAGGATGAGAAACATACATAAAAAGAATAACTGATAAGCTATAAAAAAAAACAATGAAAGGGTTTTAAAGGGTTTTATTTGTACCTGTATTTATATTATTACTATGAGTTAGTACATACATTACATTTTATTGGTTCATCATCTAAATTTATTACCTGAGAACTCCTCCAGGATGAAAACTAAACAGGAAAATGCTTAAATTAGTTAGGAAAGATTTTTTAGTTATTCTTAAATTGTTCACATAATACGAGAGAGTTGTAATAATATTGTATCAAGTGTTCTATTTTGACGGCATAAATGATTTTGAGCCTGCTTCAGCTTCCTGCAACTGTATTGATCCCCAAGAGATTTTGTTGAAAAATATCACGAATCATTTCCAATGAACTGCCATAGCTTTAGATCAATGCACTGTCCTGATTTATATCTAAAATATTTGTGCTATTCTTAACACATTTACAGATTTATACTTATTTTGAAGGCTTTACAACAAACTTGTATAAGAAGTACAAACCTTTTTCAAATACAGCAAACTGTACGTCTGTGAGCATGTGAAAAATGAAGATAAAATGTTAGGCATAGTAAAAACTAAATTGTGTAAAGGGTTTAAAAAGGTTCTCCTAAGGAATATTTGAGTAAATCTAAAAAAGTTTTCATAAAATGTAGCTAAACAAATTATGTCTTGATCATGATGTGTATGCCATGATGTTTATGCCCTGATAGATGATGTAGGTACGTTGACTTTGAGATACCCATGTAGACACTGTAACTTTACGGAACAGCTTCAGCCAATTGATTTAAATGGAAAATAGGCGAGTCCTTTTATAAGTTGTCCTATTATTTTGGTTTGCTTAAAAAGTTGTCATATTCAACAGATTCTGTGATTGACAAAGAAGTTGGTATGAGAAAACCTCCCAGATGGCATGCAAGGATATATAATCCTTTAAATGTAAGGCAGTCCCTTTCGACCCATTCTGTGAACTCAACCTAACTACGTTCATTACACTTCTACTTGCATGACTACATCAATAGTCAAAGGTCATATTGTTAATAAACATAAACACTACTGAACGTTCTGAAAATGTAAAAAGAACCATTTTATTTGGGAGTTAAAAGATTGGACTTACTCTGAGGCTAGCTCGACGCTTGTCCCTCTCTCTGTCTCTGTCTATCGTTGCGTAGATCGGCTCATGGAGGGGGGAGGAGAGGGGAAGTGGTAGGGAGGGGGAACCTTCACTGGACAGCCGCTCGGACCTACGTCGATCTACCTCCGCAGTTCTCATCAAGTGAACGAATGTTGCTCTAGATGACATATCACACACTCAAATCCACAATCACACACATAAACATCATATCATCATGTCATGTATGTTGTTTATTGTGATAAACAACATTGTAGCATGTAGCTTGTAGCTTGTAGCATGCTGTCCCATAAGTAAACAGTCAAAAGTCTTAGAAGTTGTATGGGTCAAAATAAGGATAAAATCACAAATTAAATTTTTCTCTTTACTTTGACCCATACAACCATTTTCCGGAGTCTGGCTGTTTACTTATGGGACACTCTGTATATCATAATGTCATGTGTTATGGATTAAATTATCTAGAGTGGCAAGCGGGATGCGCTTTCACATCAGAATCCTTCCCCACCACCATTGCTTTTGTTATTTTGTAGTCACCTGAAAAACTGGTAGAACTAATTTTATATTCTTATTCAGAGTAAGGGAGTAAGGGGCAGGGGAGGTTTCCACCTCCCTTCACGCCATCCTAATTATCACATAATTTTATGTGTTATCATCACAATGTCACATGTTGCCATAATATACGAAAACTTTGACATCATTTGTCAAACCAGAGCTCAAGACTCTTTGTTTAGACAGTCATATTGTATGAAGAGCAATTTTATTTGCTTCTAGGTAGTTGTAGGTATGCTACTATAAAATGTTGGGTTTTATCTAATACTGGTAGATACTAGACCCAAAATTTTAAGTCCCACAATTTCTTGAATGTTTGTAGAAGGGGATAACAAAATCTTTAATGATTTTGTGTTGGGTTAACCGTTAACATGTTTTAGTAGTTTTAAAATGTTTAACTCAAGAACTATTAAATGTATATTATGCATAATAAACCATTATCAAAGAAGGAAAATTTAATTGTATTTTATAATATTTGAGGTATCAATAGACCTTTGTTTGTGGAACAGATATGAAAACTAGTCTCAATGAACTAAATGAATTGAAAACAAATATTTTTTCTTAAAATGTTATAAAATTGGAACCTCTACGAGAAAGCTTACAAATCGTAGTCAAAAGTCTACATAGGTTGACACCTGACTGCCTAAAATGTAATAACGGATACTTATTTAAAGCACAAATAAAATAATATCTATTTCTAATAGCAGGGAGTCCTAAAGCCCACAATAATGGTCTTATGAGCTGCAAGCTGTGCTGCTAAATTTCTTTATAATACACATTATACACAGTAGAACAGCTAGTTGTTATCATTTTATTGGACCATTTTTGTGCTCTTTATTGTAGTGTGCAGACATTCAAGGTTCTAATGCAGTCATGCAATACAACTAAAATTATAATGAGTGTTTTGGAGAAAAAGGATGTGGTCCTACACATAAAAATATTTATATCAAAATCAGTTATAAATCTTAGCCAATACAAATTTAGGATTTTCCTAGACCTTAATTCTATGTAAATAGTTTGTTGAGATAGTTTAGTTTTAAGTACCGGTACAAAATGGTACTGGCACATAATGATAAATGCTAAACCAATGTACTAAAATTATGAGAAATGCAAGTTTTACTAGCTTAAATGTTGCAATGAGTTTCTTAAAATGATCAATAATTTTCCTTTATATTATATTAAAAATAACTAATTACTGACTCAAACAAAAACTTGAAACAACTCTATCGTTGACAATAACTTAAATCGCTACAAGATTAATTAAATAAAAAATATATAGGCCTAGTGGTGTTAAAACTAACAAAAATAAATAAATATAATTATAGCTGTTTTAAACTAAGAATGGATTTTTCCTACAGTCACCTGACAAAGTGGGCTTCCTTGCACTGATAGTACAGAAAGCTGCATTTACTTACTTTTGCCACACACTTTTTACTTTGTCACACAGCTTTTTTTTCTAACTAAAGAAATTTTTAGAGTAAAATAATTTAAATTACTTATAATGCTACCTATTGAAATATACATTGTACTATTATTTACAGAAACATTACAACATAAACAATTATTTTTTTTGTAAAGTTTTCTTGAATGGGAGATACTTTATACTTTTAGAATTAGAGTAACCAGTAAAATAATTGTTATTAATATTAGAAAAGTACACTAGGAATACCTATATTTTATACTATGATGCATTTTGAAGAGCATAAAGTCTTCGATGTTGCTTGAATATTTATGGTGCGTTGAAAAAAAATATTTTGAACTAACGCTTAAAAGGATTTAATCTTAAAAACTCATGGGTTATGTTTAAAAATATGAGGAACCACAACCTGGCTCGGGCTGCCAATATTAATGAAACGTAACTCGATAATCAAATAAAATCTTAAATCAATGGAAGTTTAAGTCATATTGTATGATTTACAATACAAAATCTATGTGTGTTTACCAAAGATTATGAAGACATTCATATTAACATAAGTAAAACTTGTTAAGACTACAAACTTTAGTACCTGTTTAATACCTACAGCACTGATTTCAATTACTACTATGTAAGCTATATACAAAATACAAAATGAATTAAACTAAAATAACATATAAGTCACGTTTTTTAAGAAAATAACTGAAACCCCTTTCACTTTCCTGATGAAAAATTATCGTACTTAAATTACTGCTTCGATGATACGAGTTTCTCCAATAGGCTATTTAGTTTGTGCTATAAGAAATACACTAATAAGGATATGCAAGAAAAACTAGCAAGGCTTAACAGCAAAACATTTGTAAACTCTATTCTAAATAGTATGGAACAGGAAAAAGCTCTAGGTTCAACATGCAAAAGCAAAAGATTTTTGTGCGGTAACAAAAAAACAGTGGTGCCAAAACTCCCTGATTGAAACATCACATTCACTCACTACTGTCCCTTCACAGAGGTGAAATACTAGCAATTCAGCAGATGGTTCCGGAACACATATTGTAAATGTTTACCACTATAAAAACAAAAAATAACTACAACAATTATTTAGTTAGTGGTAAAACGTATTGAGAAGTGACTTGACATCGTATGAAACATCTAATGAAGGCACAGTAGTAAATCATTTTCACCTACAGGTTATGTACGAACCCGGGTACTAATCTATTCTGCAAGACTTTGTACAATCTAAATAACAAAACAAAAACAATTTTAATCTTGAGTTTTAAAATTAGATTCAATTTGGCTGTATATGGCAAAATTATTTTGCCTCTTTTAACAACATAGTTTTAAGATCCTGTTTTTTTCTGTTTTATATCACACAAAAATAAAATGTAAAAATAAAATAAAAAAATAAATTGTTGTTGGAAATAATGGAGTTTTAGTTTTTTTACTCCCAAGAAAATAATTATTTAAATTACGAATTTAATTACTAATTAAAGAAATAATTAAAATATGTTTTTGCATTAATAATATTTTATTTGAGGATTTAACAATTAATTAAAACTTATTAATTTTGTTAAATCCAATAATCATTTGTTTCTTTTAAATTGAAAGTAAATATTAAGTCAATTATTAATAGTTATTTACTATTTATAAAAAAAAAATATATTTTCACCAACAAAGAACAAAGTGATAATAATTGTAGAAAAGTAAGACACTGAAACATTTATCTATAGTAAAATGCATTCACCCTGAAAATACAGAGCCAGACAAATAGGATAGAAAACATAAACATTAATGTGAAGCACATATAAAGCAAGCAGGGAACTAAATATATACCAGTTTGTGAAATATTACTTTATCAATTGAGAGCTCAATAAACTTTATTACATGTGTGTTTCAATTGGCAGGAGAGAGTTTGGGATATTTTACCTCCCGTTGCAGACATTAACTTGATGTTTGTCAAATTTTAGAATCTAAATAGTTTTTAATTTTTATTTAAAATCATTAAAGTAACGTACCGGTATGCATAAATTTTGTCTCAGATAATTGTTAAGTTTTTGAAAACAAATCACAAAAAATAGCAAAGGTTAATATCTGAATGTTGTACAAACAGATTGATAAAGACATTACAACCTCTGTATAAACTGAAGTAAAATATTTTTATTTCTTAGCACAGTAATGCTATCATAAATGTGACAAATATCTTTCACCGCAACTTCTTTAAATTCATAAAATTTCCAGACAGAAAAAGTAATGTTGCAATGGAAGAAAAAGTCAAAACCACCGTTTCATTGACACAAAAATCTTTTTACTTTTATAATTACATTACTTACATAATAAACTGATGTAATTTATAAATACATCAATAATTTGAGAATTACACTATGTACATTTAAATGTTATATACATAGATTTAAGTAAGGAGAGAAGTTTTACACTGATACACCATAGTTGTAAAATTTTACTTCACTCCAGTGCTTTTGGTTTTGGACAAAGATTTTATTCATGCTCTGCTACGTACGACTAAAAATAGTACTAAACACAATGTTTGAAAACTTGTGTACAAAAATCGAAAAACCTTGACCAAATTTAGAATTCAGTAAAGTTTAAAAGTAATTGAAATGAATGAAAAAATAATCGTTTAAGCACTGCAATGAAGTAAATGATTACATTTGAATGTTTTGTAAATGATTGGAGTCAAAACTGAGTTAGCTCCTACACAAATAGCAATGGCTCTGTAGCTAATTATTAAATTAACTAGACAAACTTAACTCTATATCCTTGAATAGTTAAAGAAGAGAAATCAAAATGCACAATATTGTGTGTTGATTACCACAGATTTGAATATCCTCTGTTATTAAAAAAAATATCTAGAAAAATAAGATACATCCTTAAATTCTAAGATGTCATTTTTATTATTAAAGTTTTCCTTAAATCAATTCTAATGTAAAAAGTAAGAAGACAGTATTGTAAATAAAATTTCTTAAAAATGTTTGAGATAAAATAGTAAAATGTTAAATAGTTGAAATGACATTAAAACACAGACTCCTTAAGCTTGTAAGTATGTGCCAAGAAATGTTTCTAGAAAATTCAGCAAGGGCTCGGTTTTCCAGAAATTCAAAGTTTACATAATATCCTTTAAAAATAATTTATTCAGCTCATAATAAAAACAAACATCTCTGAAAAATTAAGTTAAATTATATGATTACATTTTGTTTAATGTAACAAGCCAACGAAGAGCTTAAAGAGCAGAATCGAGCCGTTTCATTCAATTTCATACAAGCCGCATGTCATTAACTATTGAAGGAGGAAAGCTATATGTAATATTAATGCAGAGTTACAATATTACCTATGAATGATCCGTTTGCAAATGTTTTAGTAATACATGTTACATGATATAATATTTATTGGAATCATGTTTCTATTAGCACATGCCTCAACCCGTCAAACTCATGAAAAGAGTGTACACATGACTAGTCACAGATAATGTATAGTAATTATTTTGTATCATACATATTCCCTGAAAAGTTACACAGCTTTAAAATTTTAAAAATGACTTATGGCTAAACTTAAATGACATAAAATGCGTAAAACTTGGTTTTAACTCCAATCAAATTCTACAATATTTCACAGTTACAATAACTAAATGAATATTTTTGGTGTGTTTTTTACCAGCAAACAGTTTACAAGTTTGAATAACATTGATACCTTACAAATAAATAAAGTGGTTGCTAATAGCAGTTGAAATAAAAAAAAAATATCTTTTTCTAACCACATTAAACAAAGCTAGTTCCTATTTCAGTGTTGTAGGTTGTAGTAAAACAAAACCACAATAACCTTATACTATAGACAAGATTATGAGCGTTTAAAGGTCTGTAGTTGAGATCCAATATTTTGTGGGACTCCAAAAACAAATATTTTGAAAAACATGTTAGCCTAAATAAAAAGTAGTTATTACTGAATACCCTACTTTTCTGCAAATTAAATAAAGTTTGAGAACAATTATTATGCACTCATAAAAATTATTTACGGCAATTGTTTATATTTGTGATTTGTGTTGTTAATATACATTTTAAATTTATGATGCAACAAAAACAACAATTGTCCAAAGGAAAATTATCATGAAAAATATCAAATTCGTTGTCAAAAATCTTATTTTGCATATTTATTAACAATAAAAAATTAAATATAAAACTTGGTACCCAATTTATAACACTTTACTAAGTGCTGTCACTTTACTGCGTAAAACTGAACTGAAGCCAAAATAATAAACTCATAATCAGATATTTTCTCCCAAACCATGTACAAAAACAATGTTTTTCGTAACAAATATAAGCTATAAGGAATGTCTCACCATAGACCAGAGTGAAACTTATTTTTAATAATCAGAGACACACTTTAGTGGAGTAAAAAAATAAATATAAACAGCCCCTTTGGTGTCCGATTATCAATAACAAACCGAAAAGCAGTAACATTGTTGACGTTTACTAACTCATATAGCACCATGAAACTGATACTTACTCCAAGCTGTTGAGAAAGTTTTGAAATACTTCACTAGAATTATTCACCAACCACAGACTTAAGCTAAGTTTTGAAAGTTCTTTTGATCTTTAGTCTCTTGATGTACAGTTTCACAAGTTCATCGTTTTGTTATGTATCACTTATCACAAAACTGACATAAAGTTAAATTCTAAAACAATTGAAAAGTCAATAAAACACAGATTACAATAAATACATATATAATGATCCATGTACAAAAGCGTAGGAACTTAATAATAACGCTGAAAAAACTTAGGATACAATTTGTGAAGCTTTACTTGACTAGTTTGAGGTAACCACTTTGGTAAAACTGTCATGAAAAACAACCTACGTAATTTGTGCTAATATTCTCTTCCACTTTTCACTAGACAGCCCTTCGATAAGTATAATTTTTTGTGTTTTTCTTATAAATACAAGTTTTTAAATACCATTTAGATGATTGAGGGATTTAGCAGCAGGATTTAAGAAAAAAATAATGAAACAAAATAGCCCTGTTGAGTGGACTTTGCATGTGGCTCATGGGACGTAATGACCAGAATTGGCTGCTGCCAAATAAATATTTCCTCTGGTTTTTCTAACATTTAAACGCATTAAACTGGTAATTATTCGTGATTTATAAACTAAAACTGTTCCTAACTTAATAGAATGTGCCTTATACTTTGACATACTACAAACAGAGGAGGAAATTATAGTAATGACAGCCTATACTAGGCACCACACATTTAAAACTTACACTACATTGCCAGAATTTTCAAACGGATAAAGCATCGGGGTGAGTATTATAAATGTTTATAGCAATTGGTATCAGTTACTCAAATAGAATTTTTGGTCCAACAATGTACGTAAAAAACCTACGTAAGATAAAAAATGCTATGATGAGTCAGCTTCTGGATAGCTACTCATTTAAACAATTGTGGAAACAAATGAAAACTCATCTACTTTGCGATGATTTTTGGTAACTCTAGGTCTACTTTAGTTGTTTTACAAGATGTGTCATTTTTGGAAAACTGATTTTGAGAATGAAAAATTGATAGTTTGGTTAAACGCTTAGCAGATCAACTGCACTTGAGCTCAAAGGGCTGAGATGTGAATTGTAGGTCTATCTGTTGGCTCTAGGTTGGTACTCCTGCTCGGGCTGACAGAACACGACATACCTGGCGGGTAGTACAAGGGCCTCAAGTTCGGTGGTGAGGTGGCGTCGGATCATGTGACGGGAAGGAGGGATCCCTAGCGCAGTGGCCATTGTATCTCCACTTAGCGACGGTTCTAGCACCACCAACGCACCGTGGACTCCGCTGTCTGTAGCCATAACATAAAAGATAATCAGGAATATAACAAGATTGAAAACTTATTTCACAACAAAGTTGAAGCTCTAAAGTATCACAGCTGACCCTACAGAATATCAAATCACAGCCGTTTGTCTGAAATATGAAAACACAGATGTTCATTTAAAAGAAAAATCACTTTATCTGCCACATTTGATCATGTATAAACCATGTACAGCTTATAGAATCACAGATTTTCTTAAAAAATATAGTTGATCAAACAACATATAAGAATGTAACTGATCATTTGACTCACATAGGTAAATATTTAATGGTAAATGATACCTTTGAGGTTATCTGCATACTCTCCCAGGTCAATGTTCCTCGCCCATCTTATAAACCTCTGATTGGTCCACACTAGAGGGTCTCCGTCAATATTCTCACACTGATGTCTGCGCACAGCCAAGGCCTGTAAATTACCACAAGGTTTAGCTAGGACCTCCTAATTCTAGCCTCTCGTGCTGTCAAAACAGAGGGTAAATAGTATCTACTTGTAAAAAATAACTGGGTCAACAAAAACTTATGATTTTAGCTTATTTCCCCAATAGGGGTGAAGTCATTAAGGTAGCATGATAAAACCTCGATTAATTGCTGTACATATAATTGTTTCGATGCCTTAATGATTGTGAAAACTAGACTTACATAGTAACTTTAAGGGTCATTTTGTAGCTGTCCTGTGTCCTCCCTGAATAAACTGTAAGTATGACAATTTTCTCATTGTCTATGCACACAATTTTTTCTTTCTTTTCTTTCTTTTTTAAAAAAAGAGGTTGGCGGCCTCTTTTAACCTTGCATTTGCCCGTCCACATAGACTACAGATCTGTGCGTGGAACGTATCCAGCAAAGCAAGGGGTGAGCCGGTACAGTACAAAGGTGAACTGGTTATAGTGCTATATTGTATATTGCTATAGTAGTATATTGGTTATAGTGCTTGCCTTCAAGTCTGAAGGTTGCTAGTTCGATTCCAGGCGGAGTATATTCAGGACCCAGATATCATTTGTCACTAAACTAATGAAGCTATCATACAAACGGTCAATGACACTGTAACCAGACCAGGGTTTCGACCATCCTCTTACAAAACGCAAAAAAAGCCACTGGCCTAAACACATAAAATGAAAACGGATAAGACACACTAATGGACTAACCTGTCGGTCGTATTTCATCATGCGCAACAAATGTATCCCGTGAACAATGGAAGCCTGGTGAAACTTTCTGGTAACTCCAAGATATTTTTCTAACTCTTTTTTGCTTAGATGATCCAGCATCCGAGCATCGACCATGTTGGCAGCAAAACTCTCAGAGTACTAGAAATAAGTAAAGTTAATTAGACAAACAACGAAAAATTGAAGCAATCTCAAAGAACAAATCACGTCAAAACTTGTATCTTTTTGGCCGTTTCCATGTCCCCTCCAACTAAACTCTCTGATAAGTACAGATGTGAGGCAACGTCTTACTAACATTAACTACCATTAACCAAGTAGCCTACGTTACTATAGTATAAACTCACTTAGATGATGGAAATATTTGATAATACTATAAATCATAGACATTGGTGATTTGTGGGATTCAAACCGGGGAACTCAAGCACTTAAGTCCCGCGCTCTACCACTAATTAACCATACGAGGCTATGTTACCTGCGCCAGTCCCAGGTCGGGCAGCCACTCACTAGACACCCAGGTGTGGCCTAGCTGGGCTATGCAGGGGTATCTGACCAGTGTGGGGTGTCGGTGCTCCTCTATAGCCAGTCTTAGCTTCTTGCGATGCATCGGATGTGTAATGCCCAGCCCCACCTCCAGCTCCAAGTCACTCAGCTCCAGCAGAACCTACGGATCACAGGAGTCTTTGAGTGTAAAGGATGCATGAGATGTTAGCCAGGGTGAACAGTGAGATGATCAGGGTGATACTGAGGTGATTGAGGGAAAACATGAGGTGATTGGGGGGGGGGGGGGAAATTAGGTGAATGGAGGGAAAATGAGGTGATTGTGGTAAAATAACCTACTCTAACCACAAGAGCAAAAACCTCATCTTAAATTGCACGAAGAGAAACGTCTGAGCAGGGAAATCTTGTTGGGCCAATGTTTTATTTTAAATTCAACTGACTTATAGAACTGACCTTGCCAGACTTTACGTTCTCGGCGCAGCGAGGGCCGTACTGTGGCATGCCGAGAGCTATCTCTAGCCACGCCAGCACTGTCGGTGCGCGCCACCGTTCCATCGGCACAGACGCAGCCTCGCGCAGCAACCGCAGCTTCTCTGCGTAGCCTTCCTCCGTCAACGGAGACCAGCTGCGCCCATACACGTCACATACGGAATCTGAAACACATTAACTTGTACCTCATTGTAGGTATATGTATTGATCAGTGTAATAGAATATGATGGAAATGTCATTTATTTATTTATCCATTCCCAACAGTAAATAGCTAAATGCATACAAAAACTGTATGCACAAATTATATCAACTGATTTCAGATTTCTATCACTGAAAATTTAAATCAGCTGAGATCCAATCTCTTGGGAAATGTGTTACAAAATATTACTATACGTTGGCCCCTTAGAAAACGACCTCCTCCAGCATTGGTTTAGCATTAGCGCGCAGGTCGTTTTCTAAGCGGCCGAACTATAATTGAGAATTATTGATTTATACAATTTCCAAGACTTCCATGCAATTCAAATCTGCTAAGACTGTCTTGATATTGAAAATTAAAACAAAACATACCGTCCTGACTATTGGGGCTGGACACTTTGCGATGTCTGCTCCTGGCGAACACTCTAGAGATGGAGCCCCAGGTGCCCCCCACCCCGCTCCTCCCCCCGCTGCCCCGTCCAGGCTTGCCACGACGTACGGGCTCAGCCTCCAGAACTGGGGTACTTAGTTGTTCTACAGACCTGGAACAGGACAACAGGAAAACGGTTGGGGATAAACCATATTGCTGCATATTTTGGAGGAACTTTTTGTAATCCTACAATTAATATTTCTTTTACATCTACCACCCCTTAATTGAATGTTTAATGGCCAAGTACACTATACGTCACATAAAGGTAGTAACAACATTGAAAGAGTCTATAGGACAAAGAAAAGTCTTTTATAGGGTAAAAACTATGGAAATACCACTGAGATTAATTATGAAGATTTCAGTGCTAGTATAAATGATATTTTGGGTTAAAAGCCAGGTAACTTATTGTTGGTATGTGATGGATATTAACTGTGTTTACCAATGGACAGCTAATGTAAAATATAATAGAGTACTTCACTGTTTTAGACTCCACACAGACCAGTATAGTGATAGGCAGTTGAGGTTAAGAAAACAACTTGCAGACCTGCTAATAACCAAGATCAGCTATTTCTTTTAACAGAAACCATTTATTGAAAGCCCAATGATTGAGGACATTGAAGTACTGTTTCCAACCATCAAAAATGTTTCATTTTTCTCATTCTGATTCTGAGATGAGCTTGATTAAGATTATGTACAAGGTACGTTCACTCATTTTATCGAGTGTTCATTAAGTGTTTGTCGAGTATAGACGTACCTGGAGAGAGTTCCGGTGTCGAGTGAGCGAGAGAAGGAATGAGCGTTGAGCGGAGAGAGAGACGGACTACTGCAGTCCTTTGGCGTTGTGACTGTTCCAAAAAAAAAAATGTTAATAAAGAGAATGTTCTAATGTAGTGCTCAACATTAGAATACCTGGGACAAAAGTTTAAATACTGAATGTAGTAATAAATCATGTTAGCGGGAAATTTTGAGGTTATAGATGTGATATTTTCTAACTTTAAGACACTGATAACCTATCAGAACAACCAATATAGACTACAATTTCTCCTCAGATATCGCAATCAATTAGTATAAGCATGCATTTGGAAAATTACCATCCTTAGAGAAACATTCAGTCAATCAGTATATGGCTAAAAATAATATATAGTACACAAAAGGAATCCAAAATTTAATATTCCTAGCTTTTTAGTTCATAATCTAACTTGAAAAGTGAAGGGGTTTTCTTGAATTAACAAAGTTACCTGTTAAATAATAAAAGGGTGTATCATTCAAGCTCAAAATTGTTGAAACATTAAAATCATGCAAACAACCCATGCTTGATCAATAACTCACATCAAAGGAGAAAACCTAGGAAATGGTTTGACACAAAAAAACTGTTTATTCATTATTTCTGGAATCATTAACATACATAACTGTGAATTTAAATCTTGGTGTCTTGGTGAAAAGTTAAATTTATTGATATTGAAACAATAGTAGAACTCAAAATCCCAAAGAAAACATTCAGTAACATAAGCATAGGCCCAAGGCCCCACATAAAAATATGTGAAATTAATGAGCAGAAAATAAGTATCGTTGTTAAAACAGAGAGAATGACAAAAATACAATAATGCATTTGTTCCAAAGAAATAAAGTTGAAGAAGTTTCATGCACACAAAGAGAAATGGAAAATGCATTAATTTATTTAAATTAGATTAGAGTCCAACTAAGTTAGTAAAGTCTGCAAATGGACAGCAATTATAACCTTATTTGTGCATAACCTTATAATTTAGTCAGTAGTGGCTGTTTGGTTGAAGTCCTTTAGGGCTGAATTAACCATAAACAGGTTACATTTATATAGCGGCCCCTCTAAGACAGCCTGATGGCCTATAGTTCTTTAGCAAAGACCATTTATTATAAGTCCAATGATCAACACTAGCTAGACCCAGTTCCAAACCCATAAAAAGCTACCTTTTTCAGGATCCTACCAGCAACCTTTTTAGTAGGCTACCCCCTTCCAAACTATACCCTCCCAACTACCACTCACCCCCCCCCCCCGACCCAAAAAAAAAAAGAATCAGAAGAATAAAAAATAAGAAAAACTTATGTAATGTTTATAGTGCTCATCCATTCATCTTCCCAATTAGGTGATGCCACATGAGTGTAATATGTAAGCTACATCGGCAGGAATGTTTCCTCTGAATGATATTTGGCTGCGGAAGGACAGGATTGAACTGGGTTACTCTGGGTTACTCACAGTAAGCCCCGGTGACAGAGACACAGTCTGTGTCCATCGCCGCCGGGCACTGCGAGATCGGTCCTGAAAATGCAACGGGAAAGTGCAGAGTGTGGCATGCCTCTACCATGACAGTGAGGGTGCAGAGAACATTCAACGTCAACGATTGGAGTTGGCAAAACATGTTGCCAAACTGAATGTGTTTGAAAAACATTCACTTTTGGACACTGTGGTGGACAGCCCACAGTGTCATGATTGTATAGCTATGCTCTTTTATAGCCATTTACAGAGTGTGCAAAAGACAAAGATTTGACCTATTTCTCCTTTAGTTTTTTACTGTATTGATTGACGTGACTATAAAAAATCTAAAGTTTATATAAAGAAGTCCTTTCAGACAATCTGCAATCTGAACCAATTAGTCAATTTATATTGTATTGTAAATTACAATTACTGGCTACTTTTACTATGGAAATTGAATGGCTAGTTTTAAAGTTCAAAGTCGAAGAAAGAGCATTTAACTTCAACCTTTGTAGAGTAGTTCGCAAAAAGTGGTAACGCCAAGCTGAATTCGTTAAAAGTAATAGTTTTGTTTCTATTTTACCCTATTTCACTCGCTACAGATGAGTATCACTAGGAAATAATTTTGTTAAGGATTTTCTGATTACAAGTTTGTATAGAAAGAACCGGAGTTAGCTGGTTAATAAATAGCGTTGTCAGTAATGTTATTGATAGTGCATGCTTAAGTTAATGAGAGTAAAGACAAACAAGAATAAACTAAATTGTTAATTAAACTAGGTAAACTTTCAAGGACAAAGTAGACTCCTGGGATCTTGGTCCTTGAGTAATGAACTGTAGGAAATATCCAGTGTTTCAGTAGTGGTGGAGCAATCATTTTCGGATTTAGAATTTTTGAATTTTAAGTTGAATGGGAAATTAACCTAGAGTTAAGTAGGTACTAATTACTTAAAAGACCGTTTTAAAACAAATCATTACAGATTAAAATCTGCTGAAAACATATTCTGAAAATTTAAAATGTATGACAAAGTTTATTCATCTTAGATATGATAACTACAAACATTTGATTTTATTATGACATTTAAACAGTTTACTCAGCTCATTTATAAAAGTAAGTTTTTCTTACCAGAGAAAAAAGTACAAATTTAAAATTTTGGTTTTGTGTTTAAAATAATAGAAAACATATTTGTACTAAACATTGTAAAGTACTAACCGTCAGTTGTAGAGTCAGATAAGTTCCCCCCTGCGGAAGTAGCCCCCCCACTCTCTCTGTCACTACTGCCTCGTACCCCGCTGTCTGCACTACAGCTTCCCCTGTCCCCTGCCGCGGGAGCCAGCCCTGTCGTAGGAGGAGCTGTCGGCGTCACACCACCCCCGTTGACACCCCGCGACACAGAGACAGATGCCAGCGATTCTTGGTCACTCAAACAACCAGCGGCAGACAACTGACGGCGGGCCTGAAAATGTATTTTAATTTAAAAAAAGTTTACATGAAGAGATAAATAATAAACGGAACAATTGCACAACTAGGGAAGCAACTTTGGTAGCTAGATGGTTGGAAATAATCTTGAATGGGCAATTAAGGCATCAGACAAACATCGACTTATTAGAGGTAAAAAGAAGATAATGTTGGTGTGGGATACATCATAAAGAAGGATAATCAAAGATGTTGCCAAAAAACACTGGAATCCTGATGGTAAAAGAAGAGTTGGAAGGTCTTGAGGGACTTGGAGGATGCTAATGGAAGAGTTGAAAATGGAAGTAAAGACCCTGGAAAGTTATTGAGAGAGAATCAACTAACAGAGTGAGGTGAAGAAATACAGTGGAGGCCCTATGCTCTAGGGAGAGTCTCAGGAATCAAGACAAGTAAGTACAATCTTTAGGGTTTGGGGTTTTAGGGTCTTTAGGGTCTTAGTGGAGTAGTCATAAAAAATTTTAGTGTGGGAACCTCACCATCATTTAAGAACTGACTAATAAGTAGAACTAATATACAGAACTAATGAAGCAGAGTGGGAATCATTCCCTCTCCACTACACCACTGTTATGTTACTATTATATTTTACATTTTGAATAATCTCTAAGTTGGTTTATTTTCATCACTCTATTTATAAAAAGCTCATTTCCGTACACCATGAGCTATCCGAAAAATGTATATTTTTTATCATATAATTTTGCCTGTCTAAACATTATTTTTCAGTATGGTACTCAAAACAAATTTGTGCGTGTCCCATACGAACCTTATCCTGACCCAAACCGTTTAGCTCAACCGGATTGTATGCATCGTTTTATTCCCTGAATTGAACTATCAAACATACTGATTACCAGAAAAACATTTTAATATACTTTGCTACCCATCTATATCATCTCCATTAGAACATGTAAAATAAATCAAATTTTACTGAGTTAATCAACAACCCCATCACAACCGAAAGAAATAAATTGGATAAAAACCATGTTATAAAAACACATAAAAAAACAAAATCCAACTCAACCAGACACAAACGATTTAATAAAGTTCGTCATTACAATAATTAAATTTCAAAATGTAAAAATACCAAATACAAAGTAGAAGTTAATAAAAAAAAAAAAAAAAAAAAAAAAAACAATAATGTTTACCTCTCAAACAAGATTGCAGTAATGTCGGAATAGCAAACATATTCCGAGAAGCTCAGAAATGCAAAGTTGAAAACTCAACTGATGCAGACTGAGGCAGGTTTATTTATTGAGTTTCTCATATTCCAGTCATGTGCCATATTTTGTATTCCCGTCACCCTGGGCACAGCAACCCACCCAACCACAACGTTGCATGCAATTTTATTTTTTTAATGTAAATTATTTTTAAGTCAAACTCATGTTGTAATGAATTAAAGTTTTGTTGTTCATTTGATGATGATTAAGCTATGCATTTTTCGAGCTATTGAAAAAGGTTTGCTGAAAATTGTGGGTAAATTGTTAAGTGTTATTGGTTATTTGACAAGAAATGTTCATAAAATACATTAAAACAAAAGATTTCTAAAATTAATTATTTGTTCTTGCCAGTATTTTGAAAAGGAATCCTATAGTGAATTTATGCACCAATTATTTTTCACCAAACTACAATGTTTTTAGTCGTTTTACAAAATTTTTTTTTTTTTTTATTTTTATATTTTTATTTATAAAAACCTGATGGTTGGAATGATATCGAAAATGGGAAAGAAACAATAACCTTCCTGGAAATGTAGAACCATTTCCCAAAGTTTCACAGACCACTTAGTAATGCATACAGACATGGATAAGTCATACATTTGAAGTTAGGTATACATAAGCTAAAGGTGAACAAAGTTACGCAGGTTTCTGTTACTATCAGAGAGAAAATTGATGTAAATCTTCCGCAATCCAGTTAGTAGAGTAGACTGAGCCACCCTTGTAGCAAGGGGAGGCGTAGACAGGAGGGGTGGTAAGGAGTAACCTGAAGGGGGATGGGGAGGTGAGGTCCAGAATACCAAACAACGCAGGCTTTAGACGTGACAAATACGTGATGAGTAGAAAAGCTGCTTCTACTCTGTTGGTTACAGCAGTGGTTTGGCATACTCGGTTCAACCTTACAAACTACTTGATCAATCAGGTGGAAAAGTAATTGAAATTTTAATCATGTAAACTATTATTATAATTGTTTTTACAAACTGTAACAGGTTATTTTACATCAGTATGTTTTATTTTACTTAAGTAAGATGCTGTTTGTGTGTTTTTTGCAGACTAATATCAGCTGTTTCTTTAGTCAGGATCATTTATTCAAAGCCCAATGATCAAGATCAGCTGGGGCTTATTAAAACCATCAAAAAGCTACTGACTTTTCCCTGAGTTGCACAAGCAACCAACAGATTACAAAGTAAGAACTTTATCCACTATGCTACTAGGATTACAAAGTTATTGCACACACCAGAAACTAGGTAATTCTAAACTGTAATGGGGTGATGAAGAGTGCATGAAGAAACCGGAAGATTTGGAATTTTTTATGTGATGCAAACCAAGACAGCAGAGCGCCGAGGCCAAAAACCTTTATGGGTTTGGAGTGACCATGTTAGGTCACGTTAGACCTTCTGCCCTGAAAATGTCTGCTGCTCCATCTTAAGTGAGAGTGAGAAGCACTTTTATCAGTATAAGAATCTTTTTGAGAATTTTTGAGGGGAAACAGCTGATCTTAGTGAAAAAGCCACAGATCTCACTCTATTCTACACTAAGGCTGCACTAATTATTTTTTGAGGCGTGTGTTGCTAATGATTGCTTCATAGCTTGATTGTTTGTCTGCATTACCTCCATCAGTTGTTGGTCCTTGAGGTCGAGCTGCGCTGCTAAACTGAGACTCCGCTCGGCTTCATCACGAGCATGTCGTAACAGACTCCATCTTTCTCTTTCTCGCTCCTCCCTCTCTCTCACTAGAGCCTCTTCACTTTCTCTCATCCTCTAAAAAGTTCAAAATTCAAAATGTTAGTGTATTGCTATTTTTCTAACGTGTATGACCATAAGGTCAAATATCATTAAACGCTCTAGAAATTTTGCCCTATGTTATCCCAAAAAAATTGAACTTTGAAAAACTGAAACTCAAGTATTTTCAGTGTCGCTATGTAATGCTAATTCAAAATGTTTATCCCAATGAGTGAACTAAATATGGCTACCAAACATGTGAGATATGCCAAAATAAAAAGTTATCCTTTACATTTAAAAAACTGACCATGCAATAAAAACGAACATTATAATATTATTCATCCAACCATAGTAAAAATACAATGACTATTAGCACAACTTTATTTATTATTATTTATTACTGTAGAAAATATCTTAACTTTAACTGGATTTAGAGGAATTAGTAGGGTTTCCAGTAAACGAAGAATAAACTAATTCACATCAATCTATGTCCGTTATGCAGAACAAGGGTGTATAATACAATTAATGGTTAAAGCAGAGTCCATTACGCTGGTCTGTTTATACACTTAACTAAAACTATGGGATTAAATCATGAACATAACTGCACTTCAAAAAACCCATTCTATTTGCTGCAGAACTTCCGAAATTATTGATTTGTCCCAAACTTTTATCTTTGTTTAACTTTGCAAAGTCTTGGAAAGTCAACACTACCATATAGTTGATAAAAACAATCATAAGATTATTATTTCCAAGATAAAAAATCATGTGCTTATCTCAACAATAATTCATACATTGAATTGTAATTGATATAAATAAATAACTGAAAATAATATTTGTTCTAATATGACCAGGGAGGTCCAGTGATGAACATTTTGTGTTTTTACAGATCTCAGGGGAAGAAGTCTTTTGTCGAAAATCTATTTTTAAACATTTTTCAATGTTTAGATACAGCTTATTAAGTAGAAAGTTGAATCTGCTGGGCAAATGTTTAATAAGCTTAAGTCAGGGGAACCAATAAAAACTTAAGTGAGAGGCATCTGGGGTTTAATTTAAAACAGGTGCGGAAGGGAGGCTCAAACTTAATTACGGGAGCTGACGCGGGAAGACTGTATGTTAGGCACTTTGTAATGTGTTTAATTGGACAACTGTCTTTGTCAACCGCCATTCTTTGTGAGAAATAACTCTAGTTATTTTAATTTAACATTATGCAAATGTTAATTTTTCTCAGCATTTATGAAGCAATAGAAAATTTATATTGTTGGAATACAATATTTTTGTGGAAATTAGTATTGACATTTTGAGCTTGGTCTTATAAAATTGTTAAACGGTGCAGGACAACCGCTGAATATGCAACTATTTCTTGGGAATTCCTTTTTGCTATTTAACATTTAGTTTTGTTAGAAAATCCAGCAAACCAATTACAATTGGAAGTCAATGAATTGATTTTACTTATGTAAACATTCACTTTTTGTATATTTTAAAGAATTATTTACTCCACAATATAATGTATTATTCCCTTATTAAATAGGTCTCTTAAAACCCCTTTAAATCTTGAATAAACTTTAGGAGTAATAGGTAATTGCATTGCATGGTAATGTTTATCCAATAGTCAATGGTTTTACGTAATGTCAGTATATGTCTAATGCTATAGTGTTGTAGTATGGTTATTAGGAGAGTAGTTTTGGAAATTCAAAACAAAACCTATATTATATTTTTGTTATTGCTCGTTATTTCAATGATATTTTTTCCCCGTAATCCTTTATTTATACACTATTTTCAGCATGAACACAAACAATACCTGTTCAAAGCTTCTTATAAAGTCTCGCAGTTCATTCTCTTTGTCTTCTAGAGTAGCGTAGAGTTGTTTCATTTGATTTAGTAAATCCAATTTCTCAGCTTTTAGTTTCTTCCGATCGGCTTTGGAATCTGAAACAATATTGAAATAATTTGTTGAGGTCTTTGAAATACATTCTAGTCTGTTCTTGTATGTAACAACAGCAACTGAACACCAACACAAAAACTCCTCATGTTAAACACTCAAGTGTAACACTCAAACTCAACCCTTTAAAACTCCAATGATTTATATATCTGATAGAAGACTAACATAAACTACTTGTTAACAATCTTTCATTTATAATTATTTTATATTCACAAGTATCAATAAAAAAAAAACAGCTGGTAGCTATACCACTGGCATGTGCAGCAACCTGGGAAACAAGTTTATTTTAATAAACTTGACTTGGTCTTTTGGTTTTTGGTGAGCGGTTGGTGGTTGAATAATACTGTTATCAAAGAGGTTCCGTTACATATAGTGGTTTATATTACCTTTTCACTGTCCAAAACGATCCTTTGAAGTTTGCTATGACTACAGCTGTTTTGTGTATCAAGAGGGATGGTGTCAAAACCGGTTGCCATATAGATGACTTATGGATTACTTGGACAGTAAAAAGGTAACTTAACCTCTTGTAGATAATTTGTGAAGTAATCTGGAAGGCAATACACAAGACAACGCTGTTATAGTGCGTTTACTAAATTCAAGTATTTTGAGGGGAAGATCCCCTACTACTTTTTTTCCTAAATTCATGATCCAGCTAGTGGACGTTTTGGCAAACCTCAAATTTGAGCATAGTGTGGCAGACTATCATTTCTGATCAACAACCAAGCTTTCCATATGCAATAGAGAAACATCTTTATATGTAATCTTTAAGAAATATATAAGTGTCAATTCTAAGGTGATGTGCGTCTAGCAAGAGACGTATTTTAGATTGAGGTGTTAGAATCCTGTCTTGATAAAGTCTGGTGTATAGGAGACCATAGTAAAATATGCATAACCAAACACAGAATAACCCGAATATACTTGGGTGTAAATTTGATGAGGAATAATTTGATAAGCATAATTTAAAACCAACAATCTGTTGAAGGTTAATGTAGCATGACAGGTTGAAAGGGTTACAATCAGGCAAAGTCATTGAAAGCCGAAGCTAATCCAATAATACCCCCGCCGCAGCAAACCTGCCGTCTAAGCGAATTTCCATTTGGCTGAATTGATTTTCAATTGATCTATTTAAATAACATTAGGTTTAACGAGTACCTAGGTTTGCTGCTACAAGGAAACTAATAAAGTGTGTTTTTAGTAAAATATTGATAGCTTACTATAAAATAAATAAATTTGCCAAGTTTGATCAAAATATATCCATAAACAAGCAAACTACAACATTTTACAGTATTCTCCATAAGAATAACATGGAAATTTTAAATTTACCATTTTTTTAGTTTTCTCCGTAACCAATAACCGTACAAAAACACTTTGATATACTGAATTGTTTGTTTTTTTAAGCTCTTTAAGAAGGTTTAGAGAAAAATTGGGAAATTTTGTGTTTTGAGGGTCAAAAGTGAGAAAAACCAATTTTTACCCCATAAAACCCCCCATAAAACCCTGTTCCCATGGTCCGATCATGCTGGATCGCGAACTCATTCAAGTTTATCCCGCCTTACACCTTCAAACCAAATTTCATCAAAATCGGATAAAAATTACTCAAGTTATCGTGTTCACGGACACATATATATATAAATCTATATATATACCTATATATATATATATATATATATACATATATAAAAATTTGAACGAATGGTGTTTTTGGCCTCTGGGGACATCAAAATGAAAAAGTAAATCGGTCCCGGGCCTAAGTTTTACCATGAGACCTACGGTAATAGCTACTTCCCTATAGGGAAATTCGCTAAAAGACCTAAGTGCACACAATCCGACACCATCACTGAGAACAAATGAGGGATTACCTTTGTCATTAAATTTTGAATCGGCGATCTACAAGTAGACCCAAAATGAAATTATATATTATCCATTACATTATTTATTTGAGTCCTTTATACATCTTTTACAGAGTCCTCAAATTTTTACCATTGTTAGTATGGTTGTAAATTTATAAATCCGGGGTATGCATTTTTGAACACCTTAGAAACATTTGTAACTACAATACTAGAAACAGGAATTATATTTCAACCGGTTTCCATCGATTAACATTGAATAGCCACAAAGTTCATGAACAAGATGTATATACTTTTTCAATCAGTAATATAATCTCACTTTAATAAACAATTCAAAAAGATTCTATTGGCAGTTTGACAGTTTGATTAAGTTTTTATTTTTTTTATTTTTTTTTTTTTGCTAGGCACGAGTCTGGGATTGTTTTTCACATTACTTCGGACTAGACTTAGGGGTTGCGGCATTATCACTTAGATAAAATCCATTGGTGACTTGGCGGGGATCGAACCCGGGACCTCAGGGACTGAAGTCCCGCGCTCTAACCACTACGCCAGCTTGCTCCCCAAGTTTTTAATAATAAATATAGAGTATTTTAGTTGTATTTTGTAATGAAAATACATTTCATTACGTCTCTTTTGTTTTTGTCGTCACTATAATTTTAATTGCCACTAATTGAACTAATTGACATGGTTCTGGCAAGTAGTTAGCCTTAACAACTTATCCTAATAAACTTATGATGAACAAAAACTTAAAATAATGAAGACTTGTGTGTAAAATCACACAACTGTTTTTAAAAGTGATGCACTCTAGATATTTAGTGATTCAATAAGACAGCATATGGTATGGACTAGGAAAAGAAATGTGTATTAGACATTGAGTTGTCATCAAACAATGCATTTGCAACACTGACTAAACTAAACAAGGAAATGCTGAACTTTTTGTATAAAACAAAACAAAGAAGAACAGTTAATTGGTGAGGACATCTCCTCTTTTGAGGAAACCTAATTAACCTAGTTTTTGTTTATAAAAGAGGTACAGGGTTTCTAATCAAACATTTTTTTAGTTGTCATGAGAAAAGTATATTCTTGAATCCTTTGAAAACCATATTATCCAGTGATTTGATTATGCCTATTTGTATACTGGTTTTCTTTCATCTCATAAACATAATAACAATTATTTAAAAATAATTTTTTTGTGGACACACACACACACAACTTCAAATCTGCAAAAAACGGTCAAAAAATACCCCTAAAGATAAAGGGGTAAGTAATTATTCATTTGTTCACGTCCTGTATTCAGATGATATATGTTTTCCATGTTTTTTGCAGTGTTGTCTTTAAAAAAATCCTCATCTTTTTATTGATAACCTATTGTACCATTAGTAGGTAGTTCAAAAGGATTATATAATTATAGTCAAACTCATTTTGTAAACTACAGTAAGATGTTGAATATCGGAGAAATAATAAATAAATAAATTAAAAAAAGAAAAAAAATTAAATTGTTTGATAAACTAGTCAGTAAGCTAATTGGTGCACAAAAGTCATGGGGTTTGGAAATCATAAAATACAGATTGCTAAAAAAATCTTTTTACCATCGGTTATGAAATCTCTTTCTGAAACTGTAAATTAAATATTATGATAGGAATCAAAACAAATTGATGACTTGAGAATGAGGCAGAAGGAGAGTTTAATGAGTTTATGACAAATGGTGTCAGTTTTGAGGCGAGAGATTAATAAATCTCCAACTACCGAGATATTGCACAAACTTTTATTCCTCACCTTTCCCATCTATCCGTTCATTATTAAATGAAATTACCTACTTCAAAATATTACACTAGGAAAGACGAGTTAAAAAAAATATAATACAAGTTGGTGAGATTCAAACAAGGAATCAAGTTTCATCTACTCTTTTTCTTTGATACAGAAACAACTGGGATTCAAATAGAATTACTGACTCTGTTGAAAGAAAGGGGAAAAGAACCTTTTAGACCAACTGAATTATATTTGCCTAATCATATTAAGTAAGATATAAACTTGAAGCTATTAATTCGTTGATGCACCTTTGGGGGTTACAGAAAAGTCCATTTTCACACATTTTTAGGTTTTTAAAATCTCTTAAAAAAAGATTTCATTAAATAAGCCCGATAGTTATAATTAATATTAATTTGTCAAAGTGTACTTCTGTTCAATATGTTAGCTGTATTTACTTGGATATTTAATCAATAATCAATATTAATTTTAATTTTGAGCGACTGGCATTTTTAATCGACATGATAAAAACTCTTTTGGAAAACACTAATCATCATTTCTACAATAGATAAAAGAAAGATTTTACAAATTTTTTTGTAAGCATTCAAAGCTTCTAGCAGATAAACTGTTGATTTGTGCCTGGAATATTGGAAAATCACCCATTCAGAATATTGTAGCTTAGCGTTCCTTTGTTCATAGAACAATCAAGGAAATGGCTCTGTTAATACTAGTCTACACAAAGACTGGGATTACTTTAAACCCTTTAGAAGTACTCTTTCTTGGTACTATTTCTTCCATATGTTTACAATCATGCTACGGTACTGGTTTTGATGCGTACAATTTCAACAAACAGAGGTCCTTTTTTATGTGTGGAGTTTCAACAATTGAGGTCCTCTTTTATGTGTGGAGTTTCAACAATTTTGGTCCCCTTTTATGTGTGAAGTTTCAACATTCAAGGTCCTCTTTTTTATGCGTGAAGTTTTAGTAAACACTGGTGATCTTTTCTCTGTATCTGCTTTTAAGAATCACTCAGGATCTTTCTAAATTAACAAGAAAGTATCTAGTTGTCTAGCAATTTATTTTACTTTTTCTCTTAAGTATTGTGAAAGATTTTCAAGAGAAGCAAGCTAGTTTATGAATGGGCAATAATAAATAATTACGGCGCCTAGTTATAATGTTAATCATGGTTATGATTTTATTGAGAAAAATATGTAATAATTTGTAAAGGAAAAAACCAATTTCTATAAATGAAGATTCAAGTCTGCAAAATATATACCGGAGAAAGAATTGACGCTTCAGAATGGGCATTTAAAAACAAACTGTATTACGTTTTTTTTATGATTTCTACATAATAGTTCCATTTTATAGTATTCTGCAAGTAATCTCCATACTGTATTAACATTTTCCCAGCTTGAATGAAGAGTATATGAATTAAAAAGGTATATTAGAGAGTTGGGTGTACTTTAAGCATTGGAGGGAAGGAATTATTGAAGTCCAACTCCCAAAATTGCCCCTGTGGGCCCCTCCCCTTAAACCAACATCTACTCTTTGTTTTAGCCTTGGGCCGCGTCCCAATCATAAACTAACTCTGATCCCGAAGGATCAATAATCAATAGTTTGATAGGGCAAAAATATCTTTAAATTATACTTGACGGTTCATTTATTTCATACGTTAATTTTTTGTTAAATAAGTAGTTAACTGATTTTGATTTTTTTTATAATGAATTTATTTAAGTTTTTTTGAAGAAAAAACAGGATATACTGTACTTAATACAATAAGGATTATCTATCTCTATAACGGGCCTGCGCCTTTTTCACCCAGAAGAAAAACAAGATAATAAATAGAAAAATTAATTCCATTTACAAATATTACAGTGAACTAAACTTAAACTGTTAAACTTACAAATATTATGAGAGAAGTAAGTATTTTAAAACCAGTAAATATTATTCGCCACTGTGAGACAGGCTATGTCCATAAATAAAATACATAAATGCACAGAAGGAGCTATTAAGGAAAACATATGGCTTTACTTTCCGGTGGATGAAATAAACATACATTCTAGTGTGAGCAAGAAAATGTTCGTAGCAAGTTTTATTACTGCAAAAGACATGATACTATTCCAAAATCCAAAAAAAGTGAAATAGTTTTGTTAATTACTTTTTTTAAACGCTGATACATAATAGTAATTTAAACCGTACAATTTTATCATTATACAAAACTAAAACATTTATCAACATTTCTTAAAAACCAGTAAATATGTTCTCATTTACAAAACACCACGGGTGTTATAATTAACAGAAAGTACAGTATACAAAATTTACCAACCCAAATCTCACTGAATTACCATAAAACTTAATTTTTGCAAACTTATTGTATTTTTCGAAAAGACTAAACGTTTGATCACAATTCGTCAATGTTGGGGGCCAAAGCCTGGGTGAGGGCCCAGAGCAGCAATTTGGGATTTGGACACCAATATTTCAGCCGTTTACGCTCTTCCCCCTCCCTAGAACTGCTTCCAGCTTAATTATTCACTGTGTTCATTCACAATAGACTTTTAATAATTCATACTCAAAATGACCTGTTTGCTGTGTCTCAATGTCCATGTATTGGCTTCAAGTAAAGTATACATATTTATTTGGTAGAATAAATATTATTAAATTTAATACATTTTTAAATATTTTCACGTAGTAAATAAGTTACTTTTTAAATATATTGACAGGACTTTTGAAACGAGCCAAACAGCAACTATCACAACATAAAACATTTAGGTTTTCCCTCTGACTCTCGATACAGAAGTAGACATCCAGCCCCCATACAAATAAATAAATATTAATGTGTTTCTAGCTGATCCAAACAGGTTCCAGTCCCAATAAGTTGTGATTAGAAGGACTTTGGGTGTATTTTGACGATTAATACTGTAGTACGCCGTATTATACATCCTTACATCCTAAACAATACAACAAGCTGAAAATATAGACTTACTGTTCAGCGCGTCCCTGGTGTTAGTGAGTTCTGCCTCCAAAGCCAGAACCTTCTCTGGGTCGGAGAGCGACTCTAGGTCAGGCATGGCGGGGGGAGGAGGTGTCTGTGCGGGTGCGGGTGGAGGGGTCGGGGCCCCGGACGCTGTCACCAGCTTACGTAACTCCGACACCTGCGGGAACAAACAATATCATAAAGGTATGTTTACAAATTGATATTGGTTGGTAGAGAGCATTTCAATCAGATTTACATGTAGAAATTAAAATGACATAGTTACGTGAATGTAACATTCTTAGAATCACTAAGAGTTCAGACAGTAAACTTCTGCAAATTTAAAGCCTTTTATTATGTTTTTTGGGTTTTGAAAGAGGGAGAAGTGTCTTTTTTAAGTCTGGGTGAAAAAAAAAAAAAATATTCGGTGTGAACAAATACAATATTAAACCTTTTCCCCTAGTAACTTTGTCTTTAATGCCTCATAATAAATTTAGTAAATTCCCATATTTCTTTACCCTTTTGCAAGCTTCTCTCATGATGCATGACAATATACAAGTTTGAGTAACAATCAGAACCAATTATGTGTTTAATAATGTAATTTTGTCAACGAAGGTCAGTTTTTTAAGGGTTTTTGTTAGAATACATGAATGTTATTTATGGAATACTGAGACCCCGACAAGTGGTATAATTATTTCTGTCTTTGTGATGCTTGATGACAGTTCCATTTGAACCAAAACTAGTTGATTCTACAATCAAACAGTATTAAGATATGGTACAAGTATTGAAACCACGGATAGAAAAGAGTTTACCCACACAAAAACGTAAATACCCATCACTTTACAAATTAGAGCATTTCACGCTTCAAGGTTTGAGTTGGGAAGAAAGACAATAATATTGAAAATGCTGAAGGCGTCAGGATGAAAATGCTGTCAGGAAGAATGATATATTCCAGCCTTTGTGCAAAGTTTTTAAAATTGCGAAAAGTTTTTATTTTTTAAAGATCCAGGTGCACATTTTTAACAATAAATCTGTTCTTACCTCTCTCTTAAGTTTATCATTTTCTAGCCTCAATCTTGTGGTCAAATTGCTGCTACTTGGTCCAGCTGCAACTTTGCTTGAGGCTAAGAGTTCACCTATAAGAAAAAAATATATCATTGTAGAAAAACTTCACAGCAAAAAAAAAGCTGAAAAAAACACTGTTTAACTCTTTTTATGTTTAGTGGCATTTTAAAATGTATGTATATAGTAATCAGAATTGATTTAAATGATAAGCAATCCAAATCCCTTACATTTTTGTATAGAGATAGAAAAGAACTCGTCCTTATATCTAGAACTAAATCCAAACAATAACCACTAGGTTAGTAAATTAAGTGCCAATTGGGAGTTTTGAATTTCTGAATAGTTGGCTCATTAAATAAAAAATAATTTTACAGCTCTCTTTTTAACTACATTTCATGGTAGGCCTACATATTAAAACTGTTAATAGTTTAATAATCAGAAAGATTTAACTTGTTCTCTTTTACAAATGCTTCCATTATAGGCTTAAGCTAATAGCCTCAACTGAACTATTAATTTCTCTGTCAAAATGGTAAAAATATAATTCTTTAAAAGTAAGAATTTCCCTTGCATCAGTTTTAAGACGTGACAAACGTAATAAGGGTCCATTAATGGAGTAAAAATTCAAAACCCTATCATAATTTAAAGAGTTTTATACTGTAACAGTACAATACTTTTAGTATAATGTATAGTCAATGGTATAACTAAACAAAATTAAAAACTAATATAATGTGTCTGTAACCAACTTTGCCTAGTTATAAACATATTGTTAAAACTGTTTAGTTTTGCAATGAAGTGATAAATAAATTAAACTCATTATCAAACATCCAGTTTTAATTTATTCAATGTTAGACTTTACAATTCATTATAATCATTTTGAAGCCTCACTGTTAAGGTTCCCAAAGTAACAAAGGGTAAAAACATCCAGGAAAAGTTGCTTTGTTTAATTAAAACAAACATTATGAAACATTTTTATCAAGGAAGTCTTAAGATCATTGTTCCAGAGTTATTTCTCTTGTTCAAGCAACATTGTAGCCTTCAGGTGAATATTTATTTATTCAAATAAATTTTCCATAATATATCAGATTAACTACATTTTAGATGTGTAAAAAAATAAATAAATTTTTACCTTGTAAGTTGTGTATGTGGGTAAGTAAAGTAAATTAAAATGTGATTCATAACAATGGTACCTGATAAATTTGGGTTCAATGTGTAGCCTATAGCTATATAAATGAACCATAAAAAGACCTTCTAGTCAAGAGGGCAGGTCCAGAATACCAAAACGTAAAACTTCTGTTAACTAACCAGTGATATTCACAACAATCCTTCAACTTCAAATCACTCACCAAAGTCCGGCTTGTTGCTCGGCCCAGGGATGGGTGACGGAGGTCTGATCAGCTGTCTTTCTTTGTTCTCCCCGTTGACCATTTCCGAGTCTTCCGACTCCTCATCTTTAACTTTCTCGGTAACTTTGCCACATATACTTTCACCGTTGGTTTGACTAAGGGGAAACTCAGGTTCCTTGGGTGATAGATTGTCCAGTCTGATTTTCAGCGGGGAGTTGAGTTTGAGTGGTGAGGCGGTTAGGTCAGGTCGACCCGATGCCCCGTCACCCGAGGATGTAGACGTAACCGAGGTCAGGGTGTGGTGAGACGAGACCTCGGAACTCTCTGAGGTCGCGGTCTTGTTGCCGTTGAGAGCGGAGTTGCCATTGATGATGGTCGGAGTACTGATTATGGTACCTGAAAACCGGGAAAAATTAGTAACATAGAAAATTAAAAAAATACCATTTCCAGACAACCGGTTATATAAACTGATGTTTGGTTATTGGTTGTAAATATGACAGGAAAATAAATTTGCATAAGACCAAATATATCCTACCCATTTTATGAAGATAATTCTGGCTTTTAGTCATTCTAGAAATATGTTTTATGGCTTTTTATTTTACCAGCCGTAGGACAAAGGTTAGTATTTCCTTGGCCTTTTCCTGGATCTTGGAGCAATACATCTGTAGGTTTCTCAGGAAAAATTCCTATGGAAGTTCATGTGTTCATGTGCTACGAGTTATCCCAGAACTAAGCAAAACCATATGTTCAACTTACCATTGAGCTGCTCTCCGAGCCGTCTGCTTGTGTCAGCCAGCTCTTCTCGCAACGCTGCCATCTCCTCATGGGCCTGACGAATCTCTCCATCAATCCGAGTCGCTACTGAGCGATTTTCATCCACCATTCTACGGAATTTCGCCTGCACAACATTAAAATAGTTTGTACTTTGAACATTATTTTTGACACAAACTGACTGTAAAGATTTACAAACTGAAAAAAAAAACACATTATTCATTCCTTCTAAAATTCTCTTAAGTGGCATATTTTAAATTTGCTGTATAGGTTGTTAGTAAACAAAACTAAGGGGATAGTCCTTAAGAAATACTTTTTCAATTGTAACAGTTGTGTTTGGGAATTTTACTGCAACAGTGCAACAGTGCAATGATGAAATGGGGAAAAATCTTGGCCAATAAACCAATAAACCAGAAACCAATGAACTGTCAAGCTTATAATAGTTTTGTAATAAAACAAAGTAAAAATAACTTTGTTAATCCCACCAATCAAATGCGTGAAAAAAATATAACATGTTCCGATCAGTTTACACTTCCATAAAATATCCCAATATGTACGGATGTATCTTTCAAGAAGCATTCTTAAATATTTCCGGTTTTCAAATTTATACAAAATTTAATATACTTATTACAAATTTTTAAGCAATTTCATTGTATTTTATTAGGTATTTATTCTGAAGAGTGGGAATAAAGGTATAATCCATAAAACATTCATTATTACTCTCTTTAAAAAAATACAATTATTAAAATAGGCACGACAGGTGGAAAATAATACTTTCAGAGATTTACCTGAGCGTCAACAAGCAGCCGCCTCATCAAGGCCATGGAGGAGTGGAGGAGGACAATGTCCGTAGCTGAGGAGCCATGATGGAGGTCCTCTAGCAGTCCTGTGTCCAGCACATCTAGAGCTGCAAACAAACCAACCAATAAATAACAAAACAACAGATCATGGAGGAGTGGAGGAGGACAATGTCCGTAGCTGAGGAGCCATGATGGAGGTCCTCTAGCAGTCCTGTGTCCAGCACATCTAGAGCTGCAAACAAACCAACCAATAGATAACAAAACAACAGACCATGGAGGGGTGGAGGAGGACAATGTCCGTAGCTGAGGAGCCATGATGGAGGTCCTCTAGCAGTCCTGTGTCCAGCACATCTAGAGCTGCAAACAAACCAACCAATAGATAACAAAACAACAGATCATGGAGGAGTGGAGGAGGACAATGTCCGTAGCTGGGGAGCCATGATGGAGGTCCTCTAGCAGTCCTGTGTCCAGCACATCTAGAGCTGCAAACAAACCAACCAATATATAACAAAACAACAGATCATGGAGGAGTGGAGGAGGACAATGTACCTAGCTGAGGAGCTATGATGGAGGTCCTCTAGCAGTCCTGTGTCCAGCACATCTAGAGCTGCAAACAAACCAACCAATAAATAACAAAACAACAGGCCATGGAGGAGTGGAAGAGGACAATGTCCGTAGCTGAGGAGCCATGATGGAGGTCCTCTAGCAGTCCTGTGTCCAGCACATCTAGAGCTGCAAACAAACCAACCAATAAATAACAAACAACAGATCATGGAGGAGTGGAGGAGGACAATGTCCGTAGCTGAGGAGCCATGATGGAGGTCCTCTAGCAGTCCTGTGTCCAGCACATCTAGAGCTGCAAACAAACCAACCAATAAATAACAAACAACAGATCATGGAGGAGTGGAGGAGGACAATGTCCGTAGCTGAGGAGCCATGATGGAGGTCCTCAAGCAGTCCTGTGTCCAGCACATCTAGAGCTGCAAACAAACCAACCAATAAATAACAAAACAACAGACCATGGAGGAGTGGAGGAGGACAATGTCCGTAGTTGAGGAGCCATGATGGAGGTCCTCTAGGAGTCCTGTGTCCAGCACATCTAGAGCTGCAAACAAACCAACCAATAAATAACAAAACAACAGACCATGGAGGAGTGGAGGAGGACAATGTCCGTAGTTGAGGAGCCATGATGGAGGTCCTCTAGCAGTCCTGTGTCCAGCACATCTAGAGCTGCAAACAAACCAACCAATATATAACAAAACAACAGGCCATGGAGGAGTGGAGGAGGACAATGTCCGTAGCTGAGGAGCCATGATGGAGGTCCTCTAGCAGTCCTGTGTCCAGCACATCTAGAGCTGCAAACAAACCAACCAATATATAACAAAACAACAGATCATGGAGGAGTGGAGGAGGACAATGTCCGTAGCTGAGGAGCCATGATGGAGGTCCTCTAGCAGTCCTGTGTCCAGCACATCTAGAGCTGCAAACAAACCAATCAATAGATAACAAAACAACAGGCCATGGAGGAGTGGAGGAGGACAATGTCAGTAGCTGAGGAGCCATGATGGAGGTCCTCTAGCAGTCGTAGGCCATCTTCGTCATGTAGACCTAGAGGAGCTATTAGAGGAACGTCTCACTTACTTATCTCATGTTACTTTCTTATGTGTAAATATATATTTTTAATTGTTTAAGGTTTGTATATAACTTTGATGGTATCCAACCGAAATCACCATTAAAAATAAAGTATCCAAGTAAAATTAAGTTTAACAAGTCTAAGGTTTTCACTGCTACAGGGAAGGTAATAAAATGTGGTATTTATGAATTGTTAATAGTACACATTAAATAAATACATTTCGTCAATATATAAACAAACAATCTACAAGACTTGACTAATTTTCAATAAGAAAAAATGGTAATTTTAAATTTACAGATTTTTGAAATTTTTCCTTATTCATTTACCACACAACAACACAAAAATGCATCAATATGCTTAATTAAAAATTTTTTATCTCTACTTATAGTACGTAGAAATCACAAAATGTTATGTTGGAGTCAATTGGCCTCTGGAGACATCAAAACGAAAAAGTGAATGGATCCCGGGTCCAGGTCTTACCATGAGACCTATGGTAATAGCTAATATGGGAAAGTCACTGTGCAGGGACAATATTTACAAAAACTCCCTAAAGAATGATTAAAACTTAGCAAAAACAATGGCATCGGTGTCATTTCCGTTATAAGACTTGACAACACAGCCCCTGAGGTTAAAGCTGCAGCCTCCGAAATTGGATGTGCTTTCAGCTACTGCACATGAATCAAAATTACTCTGCTTCCACCCCTTTATCATCAGGCCTTCTAACATAAATATTCTGCTTGCCTGGATACATAGCATGTCTTCTGTATCAGCAAATAAAATCAACCTCACTTTCATGCCAAATTTGTTTTCTTTTCACTGAGGAAAATTTGTTTTACTACATACGTCATGCAATTATTAGTAAAGTTTTACATAAATAGCGAAACATTATAAAATACAACAAATCTTGTTTAGCTAGTGGAAAAAATATGCTGACTAAGAGGAGTGAAATGAATTGTGATGATAATAAAATGAACAAATACACAACTTTTATTAAACATGTATTTTTATACAGTACATGATTGTACACATTGTTGATGTATAGACTACAAGTCATTGTCTCTTAAAAATACTCAACTATTTATTAAAGAACAATTTTAGGGAACAAATGTACAATGCTTTTAAGAGTACCGTGGCCAAATAATTGGATAAGGTCAAGAAATATGTGCCTGAGACGATCAAGAAAGGAAGTGAAATTTTGATTATACTTTCTCTGTCTAATTTCTACTGGTAAATTTCACTGTAAATACATTTCAAAGTCATATTGTTAATAATCTACTTAAACTACTGATATAATATCTACAACACTACACAACTTCCACCACCCTATCCTCAAGGAGAAGCCATCAACTAGTTCAAGAGCTATTGAACCTCCACCAGCGTAAGTTGAGCAAGACTTCATTAAAATAAGATCCAGAAGATTTTAGCCAATCCCCTTGCAACCAATCACCTTGTGAAATCTTTTACCTGACTCTATATCTGAAGTTTGTTGGCAAAATGCTTTAGTGAATCTGTCATACACTTTTGTATCCACCTTGGAATCTGCTAAAGGATTTTTCTCTTCTTGAATCTTCTCATTGGTCATAATTTCTCCTTGTCATTCACATTCAGTTCATTCCTAGACAACAAAATTTAACACTTCACGTTCACCATTGACATTCATGAATGGAGTCTTTCATTCAAAAATTGTGCACCCAGGAGTGTAAGTGAAGAAATGTATCTGTGTAGTTAAAATTGTTGGAAAGTCTTTATAAATATATGAAGAACACAAATTTGTAATGGTATTTTGTCATGAGTCTTTACGGTAGCATTATTACACTCAAGACTTGGTCCTCATTTTTGATTATAAGGAAGTTAAGAAAAAAACCAATGCCTGATTGGATTTGATTCTTTTTTATTGTAACTAAATTAAAGTTGTATGATTGTGCGTAATAAATATACTGGAATAAGGCGATATACAAATGGGTAGGCAAAAAGTAGGTAATGTTTGCAAGATCCAGAGGAATCGAATATAGTTTATAAATTAATGTTAAATGTTCTTATATTTAATCACTCTACACAGTTTTACGGTAAATTTTGTTAAATTGTTAACACAAAATTTAACTAGAATAGGCCTATATATAATGAATATAGGTAACATAAAGGTTTTGTAACGTAATATTATGAAATAGAGATAGCTCATGTTTACTGTTTGTACATGATGAACGCAAAAACTAACGAAGCTACTGAACTGAAATTCGACACAAAGGTAAAGCCCAACCAACACTTAGGCCTATTTATCTCTTTAACGTGTGCTCCAATGACCCATGGACTTCCAAAGCTTGGAAGTAGAGCTTTTGAAATAATGCTATACAAGTTTTCATTTTGCTATTTGCAAATTATTTTGATAACTCGGTTACACATTTAAATGAAGAGAACAACTCTGTTACAAAACAGCGTGGTAACTTTTATGTTATTTATTGTATTTGTGTAATTATTTTCTGCAGTGTATTTTAGAACCAACGTTTTGTAGTATTGGAAAAACAACTCAATATACTGTATATTGCTTAAACACGATTAAAATTACCAATAAATAATAAACATATTCAATAGCCGTTGATTTTAGCTAGTTTTGTCAGAAGTTTCTAAATAGATCTCCATTGGAGTAAAAAAGCAAAAGTTTCTCAAGTGTATCTTTTAAAAATATCGCTTTATTCGTTTCAGTTCAGATCAAATAAAAATGGGCAAAAGAAGTTAATTGAAATATTCCCCAGATTGAAAAAAAGGTTTTAACACTTCTAGGGAGCCGAGTAGTTACAGTGCTTGATTTAAATCCGAAGGTCTCGTAACAGACTCAGGTGACATTTTTTTGGGGGCAAAAAATTAATTATAATTTCTAATAACAGGTCGACATTAATTAGGAGCAGGACCAGGATACGGAACTCCCTTACGAAAGCCATTAATAAATATGTCACTAACGTAAAAAGAGGCAAAAAAATTATATTTATTTGTAAACATTAAGTGTTTTTAAAATTGTAAAAGTTTTCTTTTACTTTAAAGAGAAACATTTGGAGGAGAAATCTGAAGGAAATAACCAGCTATAAACTGGTAATGTGTCTAGAAGCCAATAAAAGCTCACCAAACACCATTTACAGTTCCCTCATACCTCTTTCTACTTAAAAATTAAACCTCCAACAGACAAATTACCTCCTAAACTTTTAATTTTGCACAACTTGAACCGAACGTTTTTAATATTGAAACATAATTATTTAGTTATATTTTTATCAGATAAAAAAATATTGGAATAAGATAACAATCGACAAACTGATTTTTCTAAAATCAATTTAAAATACAGTACATGTATTTAAGTGTGTTTCAACTAACATAGTTGAATTATATTTGACTGATTTGATGAGAAATTTTTATGTTTAGGAAATTTGCTTTCCATTTCGCCACCCAATATTGAGATACTCGCATAATATGAATATAATATAAATATTTTATTAATACCGTATATGCTTAGTAAACCGTAACTAAGAATATATTATACTCTGGCAGGATCAGCCATTGATTTCAAAAACATGTTTAACATTGTTACTAGTTTGCTGTTGTGTAAAATAAACAGATACTGTAGTTTACATAAATAAACAGTAACAGTAACGGATCCGTTCTTGACGTAACTATAAATTCATTAACAAATTACCGAAGGTCCTAAGCATAATAAATATGACGTAAATATAAAAATCCATTAAAAATAAACAGATACCAGTGAAGTCAATGTAAGAAATAAGTTACTAAAGCGTCGTTAAAAGTGTATAATACTTTTATTGAAATCAGCTGTTGTCAAACGAATGTAAACCATCAGGAGTGATAATCAATAATACAGGAGTAAACATGTGTCGTAAAAGAAATGTTTACCTAATTAAACGTTTGAAATACTCTTTGATATGTTGTCAACTTCTCGTGGAACACAAAACTCCTGTTGTAAACACTGGCAAACTGTTGACAACATCAAAGAACTGTAAACAAAAAATTTGCATTCTTTTTATTGTTGTAAAAATTGGTTTTAAACATGTGTTTTTTTAACTCCGCGGTAAACACGATTGTATGCTTACTTTAACATTAAGATACAAAAGTGAAAAACATTATGTCAAACAGAATATTATCAATATCCTTTGAGAGTCAAAAACTGTTCAATACTGTCAGAAATATTTCGTAATAAAAAATTAGCTTTATTTAGTGTTATGAATATCAAGACAGTTTTTTTGTGATGAAAATTATAATTTATAATAGACCTAGGGGTGATAAATCTAAGTACTGTACCACCTGTAGGTGAAGGGGTTTATAAATCAAGTTTGTACCCCTTCGCCTGGTGTTTTCTATTGTCCTGCCCGTAAACTCATCTCTTATCACATTTTATAGTTAGTTTATGTATTTTACTCCCTTATGAAAGGTGAATTTAAGATGAATAAATATTTGAAAAACTAAACTTTATCAAGTGTCATATGCTAAAAGATGTTAAATTGTTTAAACTAGAATGGACGAGATGGAATTTGTTTTTATCTCGTTGACAGTTTATAATTATCTAGTCTGTTTAGATGTTTGAAATAATAGAATATTCCAAGTGCAGTATATAGGCCACTCAATCCTACTTGTTCGATTTAACTATTATGTTTGAGCTTGGTATAAAATAATTTGAGTTAAAATTTTCATTGGGATTCAAACTATTAGTTTTTTTGTTATTTTTCTTGTATATATTATTAATATTAATTAATTAATTGCGACCAAAACTTGAATCCTCAGGGATTCAGCGATTTAATTATTCCTATTGTTATCATATTTTACCCTCGTCTTATCATCTCGAAAATGTA